CTGGCCTCAGCACATAAAGAAGTGACCGGTGTGACAGGACTGTGGTGCTGTGAAAATACACAACTCCAAGTAAGTGAAGTGTACTTGATTTTCAGTGGACACAGGTAAAGTGAAAAAGATGGGATATACTGTATTAGGTGGAAAGCAATTACATTGTAGTCAAGGAAATTGTTCAATGGATAAAATATCCCAGTGTAGCACTTGCTAAAATAAATCGACTTTAATTTCGTTAATATAGCTTTCTTTTTTTTGCGTTTCAAGGATGCTTTACAATGCATTAATCATTCACTCCACAACCGGGAGATGCAAGCTACTATAGCAGCCACAGCTGCCTTGGGGCAGACTGACAAAACAAGGCTGCAAATCTGCACCATCTGCTACCTCCGACCACCCCCAACACTCACACAACACTTTGATACTGGGCAACATGGGGGAAGTATTTTGCCTAAGTTCAAAACGGAAGCCACTGCTGCCCCACAGTGGCACCTGGCATTCCCAGCGGTCTTTCACTTAAGTACAAACAAGACCAGACTGAGCTTTTCGAGATCTGATTAGGTCAGTTCCTCAAGTGGGTATGGCTACAAATCTAGTTACAGGGGCAGCTGATCTACAGCCTTGGACAATATGACAAACTTTTTAGCATAGTACATACGTGGCATACTTTGAATACTTGCCTGCACCAGGAACTGCTCATCAGTCAGGGTGAGTATGTATGAGATGGTGGAGGTCTCATAGTCCAGACAGAGGCGTGACAGCAGCAGCAGCAGGGCGGGAGGGGTGGAGCCGCCCTTGTCTCCGGCACTTTCACAGAACTGACGCGAAGACTGACACACAAACCTAATGAAGCTCACCACCAGGCTCTCGCGCACACCTTTACTGCAGAATTCACCCTTTGACAAGGGAAGCGGAAGATATCAGCGTAATTGTACAGAAGGTAAAAACTACACAGGAAGTCTATATTTGAATCCTATTATTATTTAATCAGCCAGTTCACTTTAAAGTACTTTTAAAACTCCTAAGACACTGATTATGCCTAACAATGGATTCAATCAGCATTCATATTGAATAACTAAATATGTAGTTAGATCATTTGATATAACAAAGAAATGTACTGAATGGTATGTGACAAGAGCAAACCTACTGACCTTAAAATATGGTTTATTAGAGAATGTGATGTCTTTGGCTGTGAAAAGGTGCACAGACGCCAGCACAGACTTGATCTGATTGAGAATGGAGGACGACAGGGAGGACAGCAGCTCTGGCAAACTGCTGGGGTTGTCCCTATTGGACGCAGGCCCCCCCACTACTGAAGCTCCGCCCATAGAGAGACGAGGTGTGGCCAACGCCTGCCTCACGTCTGTTAAACTGTCCATGTAGAAGCTCTGTAGTGCACACAGGTACTGCTTCACACGCTCGTTTGCAGCACGGATCACAATCTCAGTGCCCTGGTTTGGTACTGATGAACCAGGAAGTAGTTTGGCAACAGCTTGCAGTCTGCGGTGAAAACGGTCCAAAGCTCGCACAAGCAGAGAGTTATCCCCTACTCCTCTTTCCTCTTGTATCCTTCTTTCAACTAGGGAGAAATACCGAGCAGTAAGATCATCCACAAATGCATGAAGTTTGCCATTCGCCATCTGGGGAATATTCTTAGTTGCAAGATCACCTGTTTGAGGGTGATTTATAAACAGTTCTTGGTAAGATGTAATTACTAAGCATAGACTACTGACAAACTCATTGCAGCCTCGATCAATGAACTCCAAGATGTCTGTTTTGGGAGAGGAGGGGGAAGGCAGTCCTGTAGGAGAGCCATCGGTGGGTGAACCAGCGTCTGCACCTGATGATTCATTTTGAGCAGAAGTAGCAGAGGAAACATCAGGTTTTATCTCTGCCCCCAGGCCCTGGAGATCTGACTCAAGTCGAGATCGAGCATGGCTGAGGAATTTGTCACACAGCTCCTCTGCAGGTTCATCCAGCTGTAGCAGGAGCTCCACACACTCCGATAAGTCTTTGGAACTAGTGCCACCATCCCTGCAGGAGCAATCAAACAAGCAAATGGAAAAATATGAAGGGAATATTTCACAACAGGGCAAAGTGAATGTAGCGTAAGCTTACAAAAAAGCAGATAATGTTACAAAACAATATGATTCTGGCATACACTGTACAAAAGTGAATAAATGAGGAAATACTTAATAAAGATTCATATAACATAATCCTATGTAACATTATAAAAAACTATATGCATTCACTAGGGTAAAGATGTACAGTTTTTCAACACCTATCTTAAAGCAAGTTACATATTATGTGTGTAGATATTTTTTATGAATATATTTTGTAGTAGAGGGGGAAGATATCAAAAATGTTGCTTCACATTTATAGAAAATCTGCATATCGAGTAAATCAAATGAAGAGCAGAAGAACAATAAAATAGACAGAAATATCTAATGTAATCTTCTATACAAGGGTATATGGTGATATTTCTGTACTTTCGTGATAAATTTTATGGTCCATTCACAAATTGAAAAATACTTGAATTTCAACCAAGAAGATATTTAGGCACATTTTAGCATCTTCCAGATGATTACTTGCTCACATACTAGTATAACCACTAGATGATTTAAAGTGTTAATGCAAAGAAATAGTGAGATATTCATTTTGGTCTCTATTGCCCACCCTTTTTGTAGTCATTAGTCATTGCCAAATAGCCAATAAATAAAATCAATCAAGTACCAAATAAGATTGTAAATGCAGAATGTGTGACCTTCACCTGAACTAGGGATGAGACAGTAAACATTACTGTTCATTGTGGTAAAAAGAGTGGACAATAATCGTTTGTGGGACATTTTATATAATTGTGATACTCGTCAACAAAAATTATGGCCATTATATACCAGAATGTGCAAAAAAAAAGCTACTTATCCATAATGTTCTCTGCTAGATCGTAGTTGTTTTCACTGATAACAAGTACAATTATATTAGCTGTTTAAACATAGTATTTATTCTTGACATTAAAATATTAGTAATTCAAATTGATAAAATTTTTAAACATTTTGAAACTTTAATTGCAATTATTTTGGCCATGATCATTTCATTGCCTAACCTGAATTTCTGCCGTAGCTCTTGGGCCAGTTTGTCCATGATGGCGTGGCAGTCGTCCTGGATCCCTCTGAAGGACGGGAGGTGGCTGTACTGCTGCAGCACACAGCGCGCTCTACGGTGAGAGTTTACTGCTTGAGCATAGGCCTGAAGCTCCAGACACTTGTTTAGTCTGGCAGGAAGCTCAAAAAGAAACTGCAACTTTCTTAATAATGTGTGGACACCTGGAAAAGACATATTCATTTTTATTCAGATTAGTATTTTTTAGTATTAGTGTTTTAGGATTATTGTGCCCGTGTCATAAATTTCAATATTATATCTATAAAATTTGATATTGTGAAAGGCCTTATTAATCAGGTACTGAGGTTAGCTTTCTTTCTTGTTTATTGTCTGACCTGAAAGTTTAGTAATCTGCACATGTTGATCTTGGAGTGTTCCGCTGATCCGAGCACTGAAGTCTGTAATCGCCGCCATGTTTGCAGAAAGGCAGTCCATTTCATCCTCCATCTTTTTAAAATCATTCTTCATCTTTCTTATTGTGTCTTGAAAATAAATAGAATGGGATATGTAGGACAGATCTGGATTAAATTGGTGCTATATGGATTAGAGTTTTTCTACCTGTTGCAGATATAAACTTATTGTAGTTTTCATACACCAGTGTCTGCATGTCACTATCCAGAGAGCGGATCTGTTTGACCATACATGTCTCATGGTCCATGAGCTCTGCCAGAGAGCACTCTCTTCTCAGCTGTAATAGACAAACAATTAAGTTGATAACTATTGTTTTAGAAAGTAAAAAACTTTTAAAAAGAGAAGCAAGAATTATTTGAAATGTTATGTTTGTGAAAAGATTCTGTGATTTTTAGGTGCGCTATGTAACTTTTCTGGTGGAGCTTGTCACCATGGAGATGTTCTCATTTTGCCAGGAATGTTTCATTGTAAATGTATCTATCTCCATGGAGACACAACAAGGCCAAATTACAGTTCAGATCCATGGTGAGGCAAACACACAGTATAAAAGCATTTTTTCAAGGTATTTGTTTAGCAATAAAACTCCTGTAATTGAACAAATGCAAGATAGATATGTTTAATGCTATACTGTTGAACATCCAGACCAAGCCATAACTTTTACAAGGAGACAAGAAGGTGACCTATTCCTCAACAGAAAAGTTACAAAGTGCACCTTTTAATATTCAAAAACTTCCATACAGTAGCCCCTGCCAATAAATGCATATAAAGTTGTGCACAAAAATAGTCACCGTTTAAAACAGCCAGTAAAATGACATCACCTTGTTGAGGTAAAGCTCCGGGTCGAAGTGAGGCCCATTGATATCACAAGGATCCAGGGATTCTGCCTGCTCCTCGGCCTTTCCCTCCTCATTCAGCCCGTAGTAGAGCTTCAACATCCCGTGAACCCTGCGTCTCCTGCCGCTGTCCTCCGCCCCGGAGCCGTCTGCCTCGGTGTTCATTTTCTCCTCTTTAAAATGTAAAAATACGAGAAGCTAAAACAGACGGGACCAGACTAGCAAATAATGTACGATATAGGAGGAAAAGTCAGCTTCAGTTGCACTCAGCGTTGACGCACATGAATCCCAGACATTACCACACATTAATCGTTAAGCATTCAACCAAAGATGACATTATATTTCATGGAAAAAACATAATTCAAAACAAACCCCTCAACTAGCCAAACAGCGATGCGACTTCCTGGTTTGTAGCCAATCCTGTGACACGGCAATACGTCGCCAAAGAGTAAAATAGTCAAGATGATAAGGGCCCCAAGGACCGGAAATGGGTGAAAAACAAAGCAGGAAAAAAATAAATTGAAATTCTTCTAATTTTATATTGCGTTATAGGGCGAGTTTATAAAAGCGAATTTTAAAAAATCACAGTAGAAACAAACAAAACAGTTTTAGTGCATTTATTGATAAAAATTACATAATAAACAGTGACACTGAAATGTACTGAAAAGCATTCACAATGTATCATTTTAGATGAGAGCAATGCCATACAGTCATTTTTCCAAGGCGAGCTGCAGAACAGCCAAAATTGTACAAATTAATAGGCACTTTATGTTTTGAGGTGTTTTAAGCATGTCTTTAAATTAGTATACAAATATGTTACTAATGAAACATACAAAACATCAGAAGAAGTAAAGCAGTTACAAAATGTGAACAGGTGAAATGGTATTAATAGTGCAGTATGTGTCAGATGTGGGAATGACTATTTTACAACACATGCACAACATGCATCATCATGTACGGTATGAGAGAATAAAATGAATTGCTGGAGTTTGTTAAGGTATATGTAGTATCAGAAAAAGGCTATGTTTTAATGGCTTATTGTGAAGTAAACTACTATTAGCCAACAACCAAACATAGATGATTGTTAGTTTTTACCTGTGAGGCTTCAGGCTGCATATTGTACTGCAGGCTTCAGCAGTAACAGGCCTACTTTGGTGTGATTGTAACAGCATATTTCAATAACACATTTGTATTTGCTCAACAATACATCTTCCCTTCCACAATTATTTTATCTAGTAAAATCCATCAGGTTTAGAGTTCACATTAGTTTGGATATTGCAAAGTTAAAAAATATTGCATCAGTTTTCCATTGATTTTCATTTTCCCCTATCAAGAAGCCCTGTTCTTTTTGGCAATGGCTGTCAACACAAATAGCGCCACTTGTTAAGATTAGAGCAAGTCTATGGCAGTGAACCCTACATATTATTTAGGCCTTACAATATCTTATGTCATTTTAGGAAAGGGATATGAGAAAATATGTATAACATACTGTACAATTCAGCTCTCCAAATTAAACCTCTTCCTGTATAATCCATTAATACACATTTTGTCATATATAAGTTGAGGTATGTTAACCATGACAATGAAGGTCTGACATGAGAATTAGAATTGTATTCAGGTTAACAGAAATAGTGCTTTTACATGGCACCACTTAATTCAAAGAAACAAGGCACCAACAGTATGTAAGAAAACAGGAGCATAGTATTAAATATCACCAAGACAACACTAACATTAGAATAATATGAACTATCCCTTCACAGAATGTCAAAGCCCTAAAAATAACAAAATTAAACTGTCAGGAAGTGGTAACAACCCAGTGAGCTTTACCAGAGATATTAAAACCACATTACCCAAGAATACTGCAGATGTTTAAAATGTTTTGACTTGTTATAATGTATGGAGATATGGAACAGCTCACCTGTTTATCATAACATATTAAACTACTTCTTTGCCTCCTTCAGGCTCAACTTGAATAATGGAAGAGTTTGTCACACTTTACTTTCACATTACTGCCTAATCTTTATATACATGACTTCAAGATATAAATATCCCTCACTTGGTCCTTTCCACATCATTATATTAGTAGTTACAAAGGTTTTCTTGTTCATTGACTTTCAGTGTAAAATGTAAAGGTTTGGTCTTTCAAGGCAAAAAAAGAGTAGTTGAAGAGTTAACCCTGCTCCAGATTGTCTGCCCCTTGAACAGCAGAATAAGAGGAAATTGTCGCCTGTCGAGTGAAGAAGGAAGCAGCTCTTTTTGGTTTTAAACGCTTGATTTCCTTTCCTGAAACACAACAAAGAGTTCTGTTATTCCAAACATATGATACATATGCTCAGAGGTGGGCACTAAGTATAAATTGTACTTTTCAGAGTACTTTTCTAGCAGCACTCTTCCACTGTGTGCTTTATATTGACAATATTAAATCATTTGCTCCTTCTGATATATATCCATTGGAAATAATAGATTTTGTGACAGAACTCACCAGTATCCACGTAGCTAATGGTGTTAAGTGAGTGGACACGACTGCAGACAACGCTGCTTTGTCTCCGTAGTAACCCACGGCGCCCTCCTCGGCCATTCTTGCTACTTGAATCTTTTCCGGAGGCTTGAGACTGGCCAGGCTCACCATCTGTGTCAGCTGCTGCTGCTGCCTCAGACACACACTTCAGCTCCACACAGTACTCTATGAAGCCGCTCATTAGCTCTGCCTGTGTCACACATAACAGATCTTAGCATATGAACTGAAACTTTATGAACCTAAGTTTTTTTTGTTTTTGTTTTTTAACATGTTTTATTTTCCCGTGTTTTAATTTTCAAAGCATACATGCTATGCACATTAGTTACCACATAGCTGGTTAGCCTTTGTCTTTAAACTCTTAATATTTTATTTATTTATTTATTATTTACTTTATTCACAATATTTTCCATTGTGAAATTCATTAAAACTAAATTTGACAAATGAAGTGCTTGCACATACTTGTTTTGAATAGATTTTGAGCAGCTTGTTGACTGGAGTACCATCCTCTTCTCCGTCAAACTCAAGCCACAGTATATGAGAGTCCCCCTCCTCTTCTGGATAAGTATGGTCCCAGGACAGTTCACTGAATCTCAGACCCAGTAGTACATGCTGAAAAAAGTAAATAAAGTAGATAATATGTAGAAAATAAAGCATTTAAGAAGAAGTTAATGTGCTGTAATATGCACCTTTTCTTTTACATCCATAACATACACTCCCTCTAGACAGATTCCAACAGAGACAGCTTTCCGTCGTCCTCTTTGCAGGATCCCCTGAACAGGTTTGTCAATTTCCCCGCCGAAGAAGCCACATCTGTCAATTAAGCAATTTATTTATATATACAGATTATTTTCAGGATATAATTATGCCTTTTAAAACATGGTTTTATGCTGTACCCATAATAAGGCAGAGAGTGGCAGGTGTTGAGGTACTGGTGCAGGAGCTGTGTGCACTCAGAGGATGTGCTGATCTTTCTGTATTCTTCTAGAAGACTCTGCTCCAGAGCCGCCTGACGACTCGATTTTCCTCTGAGCGTCGACAGCAGCCCTCCGCTCCCCAAAGCAACGTGAGCGGGCAAGAAGGAGGACAACTTCTTTTCTCTAACAACAACAAAACCATCAATTTTCCACCAGAAAGCTGTTATCATTACTACCATGTGTTTGTTGTGACCTTTCAATTCAGACAATTTTAAAAACAAGCTGGTATTTGTCAACAACTTACTAGTGGCATTTGGTGTAACTACATTTTATATTTCATGTAGATTTGGATGTGTAAATATTTAGAATCCATCCCAAACATGTGAGTCAAAAATATGTATATTATTCATAACTTTAAGAATCTTACTTTATTGTAGTTGTTAGCTTTTGGTTCTCTATTCCACATCCCTCTTCTATAGCCAGACTCAAAGCCCCTAGGCTGTTCCAGTGCTCTGGATCACAAGGATATCGTCCTGTAAGAATGTTGCTCTTGGCTTCTTCATACAATAGCCTTAGAACATCTTCGTCTTCTATCTAATCAGAAAAATCTAATAATTAATAATGAATTATTTAATAGTCATCAGCTACAATATAGCAGAGATGTTACCTGGAGCTCTTTTGATTTGGAATAAAAAACATTGCGACGGTATTGAAGAAAAGGCTCATCTGAGGAGAAGCACAACATATTTTTTGTCACAGCTCTAAAAGACTAAATTCAAGTCAGATTTTGCTGCCAAATACAGATGCACTGTTGTTTGTTAGACCGTTGTTAGAACATCCAATCAGATAATCAAACCACACATTTACCTTGTGAAATGTCTTCCTCCGAGGCCTCAGTGAAGCGATACAACAGGTCGTGCCATTGCCGACATAATTTATACGGCTGGTGTCTTGGTTTTAACTGCAATTCTGCACAAAACATCACATGGTTGGTGCTATAAAGCAGATGTTCCATTCAGTTTAATGTGAAAAGTGTCTTACCAAGTAATGGAGAACATAACCAGAAGGCAAAAACATCTTGTATCGAGTCAGGAATATTCAAAGCCTCACGCACACTGCGTCCCAACTCTTGAACAGTGGTACTCCCGAGGCCTTCCACTGTTAAATGCACTACACTATCTCCAAACAAATATATAACCACATCTTGGGCTGGGAAATATAAAGGAAGAGTAAGACAGTGGATGGATGGATGGATGGAGTAAGACAGTGGGTCTGACTTGATTCAAGAATAAGCTGTGTCACTATAAAAGATAAGTTAAAATATATATTTCATAATAATCACAAATGGCTTTACCACGAGACAGTGTTGCAGATGAGGCAACGCTTCCTCGTTGAGACAGATTATCTGAGGAATCTGCTGGAAAATTGACATCGTCTCCTTCCATTCCTTGTATTCTAAGCAAAAAATGAAATTAGAAAATCATGTACATGATCATTTCAAAGTCTGTTTTTGTCAGATGAGATATGCCTCAGAAAAACAACAGGAGTATAGCCTTCCTCCTACACAAACTGTCACATTATTATTGTCTAAACGCCACTTAACACTAGCGCCATCATGTGGTGAAAAACAAGAACATATCCAACATTTCGAAAATGCACGAGCACCGGCCTCACTCTCAAGAAACGAGTTATGTACCTCACCAGATTGTTGCTCATCAAACATCTCATCTGCACTGACACAATATTTGGTACAAGAGTGATCAAAATTACTTCGCTGTGTTGGTAAACACATGAGGCCTAGCAAAGCTAGCATGAGCTAACAAACCAACTAAGTTTGACAGAGTCCCATTTCAAACTCCTAGTTAAACAAAGGACAGGAATTAAATCAGACCACAGACCAGCTGACATATCTTGCTATAGAGTGGTATATTGCTCGAGGTAGTCAAACATCATTTGTTAATGTGTTATTAACATTTATTAACATACCTTACTTTACTGGTAGACCTCCTCCCTTTCTATTTCTGTTTACAATCCAAGCAGATGATCAAGCTAGACTTGTAACCAGCGTTAGCAGAAGTGCAAGAGCCATACGCCTGATGAGCTTTAGTCTAGATAAGTTTAGATATAGTGTTTGACTCAGTTCCTCCGGGCTGGGATGGCTAATAGCTAGGGCTGTTAGCACTGCTGTTTGGACGAGTGACTCTGCTGTACAGGGCGTGACTGCCTGTAAAGAACACATCTGATCTGACACCAGGGTGACTCAAGGATCTAAAGATTTACTTTTGACCAATATGCAACAGGCAATAATCAAGGCTCACTTATTATATTATATATTACATACGTGGAAGCATCCGATGGACTTCTGCTGTCAATGCTAATCTTTTAACTTCATATATTAATTTCTGTCAGTTCAGTTAGTGATGCTTAATTGCTGTTATTTTTTTCAGTATACATGCAAAAAGGTGGTTCACACATACATACCTTTACACAGAGCTTCAAATGAAACAGTTCAGTGAGATCCAAAGCAAATCCTGCCTGAGTGTGAGTGTGAGTGTGAGGAGCACAGATCCATGGAGGAGCACCGCGCGGGTACACGGTCACGTGACGCCGGCGTCACAGCAGCAGGAGTCACACGTTTCAGAGGATTGTTTTTGTCTTTGGAGAGTGCTTCTGTGCCTGACGTGAAAATAATCTGCCTACTGTATTAACATTTATTTATTTATTTATTTTATTTAATAATGCATTGTCTACAATGAATACTTTCAGTAAAACTTCTGACCTGGCTCTTTTGTGACTGTCTGCAAGGCTAGCAAGTTTAAACGAGATTAACAGCTTTAACATACGTGTCAAAGCAAAGGACACACTTGAGAGCTTTACTAACACTTAATTAGTATGTCTCCATAATCCTTAATCCACCTGGATGAGATGTGATTGAGGCAGGTATTAAGAGATTATTTGAGGGAGGAACACAGGCAGATCTGAGAATTTTTATTATTGTTAATTTTAATAAATTGTTTAATTATTTTCACCCACATGCACATAGTATAAGAGTCTCTACATTATAACACAATTATCTGCATTTACTTTTAAGTTTTGAACAATATGTAAGAATACATTTGAGCAATGTGTGAAGATAGCTCCAAAGCACCATTTATAATTTGGTAATATTACAGCAAGAAAAATATAACATAGTAGGCTATTATTTACATTTATTTGATTAAGAAAAGATAAAAAATATACAGGATATTTTGTAAATTTTCACTAGATAATAAATCAAGTGTAATCCACTGAATGTGTCCTTTGTAAGTAAGGGGAAAGGTATGCCATTCGGAATTTGTATTATTGATCTGCTGGGATGTAATCACTTGTTCATCAGTTTCTCTGCGTAAAGATAAAATATAGTGTGTTTCTTGTATGTTCAGGCATTTTCAGGGCCTGTTGTCTCAGCTCCTTCTTGAACCTGGTTCTTAAGGAGAAAGAACTTCAGTACTGGGTCCAAGTACTCCAAGACAGTGTCCTTTACACCCTTCTCCAGCAGGTACCCCTCTGTCTCTATCTCTGTGTTCTCCTTTCCTACCACTGCCTCCATAGAAGTCTGCAAGAACCGCAAACTCACCAGCACTGAGCCCTGAAAAAAAACAAGATATACAGTAAATACAGTAGACAAGTGAAAAGGCAATTATGTTTGTGCATTTTAAGTATGGTACCTGTAAGAGGAATGCAGAAAACACACCAGTACCAATAGTATTCATCAGGCTCATATAGTAGTCTAGTAGCGCCTCTCTGCAGCCACTAATGTAGATGTTGAGTTCCTCGGTCTCATAGTCGTAGTTATAGTGCGCAGAATTATTCATTAGCTGGTGCTGGATGCACGGCCTTGGAGAACTGGGGTTACAGCAACTGAATGGGACTCCATCTACCAAGTACCGGCCATCCACATTGCTTTTGATTCGGCTTTGGAGTACAGACAAGACACAAAGGGGTTAAAATGGCTTAGGAAATCAGAAAGAAAATAGGCAGGCTATTTTTAACAGCTTACTCTTTGACTTCCTTTGAGCTGAAATCCAGGTAGCGGTTGCTGATCCATTGCACTTCGAACCAGTCCCTGAAGTCATTGTTTCCACAACACTGAAACTCCATCTGTAGTCGATCGATATTCTGTTTTTGAAAGCATCGCCCCGGGGTGTCTGTGTCTTTGTAAAAGCGAATGCCGTTTCTTAGGCCCACCTTTAGTGAGGACTCCAGACTGCCCTTCATGGCGTAGTTCATAACAACGGTCAGTAACATAAGGACTGTGAAGAAGCAGGAGATTGCAAAATAGGGCTTCAAGAAATTCTTCCAGCGAGGAAATCTGCCGGCATCTAGAGCATCTTGGCCAATCTTTCCGGCAAAGTAGTTGATTCCCAAAGAGGCCAGACCCACGATCATGAGGGTGTTTGGTACAATGTGTATGTCGGTGTTGTCCATTACCTAACAGGATCAGACTTGCAGTTTGTATGGGGTTTTCATCATGTGGAATTATTTATTTGCCATTTGAAATTAGCTGAAATACACTGGAAGTTTTAAAACACTGGGTACCTATATGGCCAGTAAAAATTTGATAACTAGAATAACCAGGTAACCCATTCTATCTTAGTCACATGAGGTTGCCCTTCTTGCATAATTTTGTTTGTCAAAACCTGCACAAGTGAGTACATTCAGAAAAATTTAAACTTCAATTTTAACTATAACTTCAGAAATCAGATTATGATCATTGGACTGCATGTAAACATAACCAGTGATTTGGAAAGTTGGAAAGATTTCATTGTTCAAATTAAATATGTGTTACCCTAAGCAACTTTTCAGATGTTGAGTACTGTACGGCACTACAGAAGTGACTGCACTGATTGTGTCTCTTGCTGCTGTTTAAACATAATAGGAGGCCAAGGGAGTTGAAAGTGGCTGATGGATATTGTTCTGCATTTGGCTCACAGTGAGTTTGTTCTTGGAGGTGATCCATGTGTTGTTCTTTGGCCAGAGTCTAAACTGACTAATAATAAGTCCATTCAAATGTTAAATAGACTGTGCCTACATAGCACTTAAAGGCCAAAGAGCCACTGCATCTCAGTCTTGTATACATAATTATATATCAGACATAAACAGTGTAATCAACCACTCAATAACAAAGAGCATAAACACACAGGGTGGAATATACTGAAGTGTGCTCCCAATGAAATTAATTCAGATAATTTCTATGGACACAGGTATGTCAAATAGAAGTTACTACTACTTATCTCTTATGAAGAGCTTAAGGCACAGATTTAGATTAAGCCTAAGGTCATTATTGCTTATCCAAACTGGGTCACGTGAATAACTCTTTGTCAAGGGCAAATTGAATTTCTTTCAAACCATCACCTCTAAAAGTCAGTTTTAGCATATTAAACTGTTTAACAAAGAGTGAACACACGTTTTATCTTTGTTATACCTTTTCCATTTAAAACCACTACGTTTAATAATAAAACATTCATCTATTAGGATTATATATTTTTTAAGGAAAGAATTTTGCATTTGAATAAAACTGCCAATTTAATCATTTCTGTCTGGTTTGCTGTTTATACCTCTCCTCTCCTGCGAAGCTCTGTTTTGAGGATGCACCCAAGGCTGAAGGTCATTGCGCCAGCCACAGTGGCACACCACGAGAGGAGCCACAGTCCCTGGGCCAGCTTTACTCTTTTCTCAAAAGGAAATTTCATCTTCATCACAACCATGATCGCAGCAATCAGGGAGCCCGAGACTCACAGGGGGAAAAGGGGAAGGAGAGCAACAACATACAAAGGTGCAGCCTAACCCCCTGCCTGAAAATATAGACATGAGGTTAAATAAATAAACCAATATTTAACTTGACACTGAGAACAATGTGAGCAAAACTGTTATGGCTAAGCAGTATTTGAAACGTACTTAAATTTTCTAAAATAAAGCAATGCAAGTAATAGCAATAGAAGTCTGGATCTAGTAATCCTCTATTTTAATAATTACCTTAATTGCTTCCCTCAAAAATGCTGAAAAAGTTGTGTTATTCCTAGCACCCACTGTACACCTGCCAGAGGGTTGTACAGTGGATTTGGTGAACTTGGCTGGGGTGCACATCTTACAGCTAATGCCTTCCTATCCTATTAAACAGGTCTGATCAATCCAGGCCAATGTCTGCTCAGCAACCATCACCCCCTTATGCACAAACACATAAAACAAACCTACTTAATAATGACATGGACACATTCAGGTATGGGAGGGAATAGGCTACATTCTGTCACTGATAAACAGTATGGGTTATTTTGACACGTATTATACCAAGTATGATATATAACTAACACTACAGGTGTAGTTTTACTTTGAAAGGAAAGACAAACTTAAATATGTGTTTATTAGTTTATTAAACTCTGAGACTACAACCTACATCTTAGCCAAGAATCCTGTCAGCCTCAATTATTAATTACACAGAGAAACAATGTTAATTGCACCTTTCTATTTTACACATTATTCAGTAATTAATGAGTATTCCACATTAAAGAGTACACTAATGTTTACAGTAGGCAAAATGTGTAACTATACTTTACAGTATATGACTATCTACCACAAAGTACTTACACTGGGTATTAGCTAATCACAATTTTACACTCACTGTCGAAGGGTATATATACATTTTAATGCCCAAATATATTGTATATCTGTATCTATTCATATAGTTACATAACCCTCATTTCAATTTAAAATTGAATCATATTCCCTTCGGACCGCTTGGTGCCACTGTTAGAGTTTTGTCCGCTCCCCTTTGAGTAACTTCTCTGACACTGCCTCTGGCTCTGGCCAGCTGTGCTCAGTTTCACTGTGCTGTGTTTCAGATATAAGATGGTTCAGAATGCGTTCAGCTGACTGCAGATTGGACATTGCAGCATCCATCTCAGAAACACTGCTGTCCACTGGCCTCACATGCGCCGTGTGTCTGCTGTTTTTCAGGTGATGTATGAACTCATTATCAGAGTCATGAACTGCTCCTGAGTGGTGTAGGTCCGTCATGGCCTCTGTGCTTTGGAGCTCTGTGGTGTGATGGGCCATGGGGATCTCCTCCAAACTCGCTGACCGGACAAGAACAGCGGACCCTAAACTTGGACTTGTGGTGATCCTGTAAGAACTTTGGCATGTCACGATTTTGGAGAGATTACTTTGTGTGAGAGGCAGGATTTCATTGTGAACTGTAAACTGCAGGTGAGACATAGTTGAAGAATGTGATGAATTTGGATTAAATATCTCTTCTCTTTCTAGCTCGTTGGCCTTATCTTCATCACCCCCTCTGTGTCTCCATGCCTGGCCTCGATTCAAACCTGTTAGCACAAATCTTGGTGTTTCCTCACCGATTTCTGACCAGTCAGATTCCTCTTCTTCTGGGACTGAACCCAGAGGCTGTTCCTGCCCTACAACTTTGTCTTTAGGGAAGTTCAGACTGTCCATGAACTGAGCTGGAGGAGGGGCAACAAGGGGAACATCTGGATCAACACCTGACTGACCATGATGTTGAGGTGCCTGAAAAAAAATACACAACTGCAGATTAATTCATTTTAAATGTGCAATGTACCGGCCCCCATGGAGGTGCTTTGAGTAGAATGTTCCACAGCAGGGCAATATCGTCTTTCAGTTACAGGTGTTTTTATTGGTCAGAATACACAGAAAGATATGCATTCTTACTGTGAGTGGGGTTGTCTATCCACCGAACTGAGTAATAACTTGGGCTAGTAGTGTTGCCTGCATGTCTGTCTCTATGGAGAGTTTAATGCTATATTGGAACAGTATAAATAAAGCACCTCTAAGGAGACAAGTAAATGATGAACCCTCCACCAGAAACATTCCATATTGCACTTTAAGTACATGTAAGTAAGTATATGTGTCTAGACATGAGTGGCGACATCTTACATTGTTTGGGTCCACTGTGTTCACAAACTTTGCATCGGCCAGTCGTTCTGTTAAAGCTGAAATACGTTGGTTTAGCCTTTCACGTTCCCCTTCCATACTCTGAGCCTGTTTAAAAATAAGTTATTTTACAGTACAAAACTCCACTTTTTGCTTTGGTGAATAGAAATAGCTGTTTGATTTACCACCAAATGAAGCTTATGCTCTAGCAGACTATTAGTTTGTTGTGTTGAAGAGCAGTTGTCATGTAATCTAAAAAGATACAAAAGTTTGTCTTGTTATAGCTCAGACAATGACATGTTTTGCCTTTTCTATTCATGTATTTATTGTTAGTTGTTTTGCTTTTACCTTGTAAACCTCTCTGTGAGGTTACTGAGCTCCAAGCGTGTCTTCTGAAGCTCTGCCTCCAAACAGTGACGACTGCTCGTGAACTCTCTTCTCCCAAGCACTCCACCCTCACCGCTGTTTTCAACAAACTTTGCTGCAACCCATCATTTCTGTTCATGTAGTATTCTGTAGGATTTTAGATTTCAAAAAAACGAATTAACGTGATTACACTCTATTCCGCTGTCTACTAATTGGTCATGTTGACTTTTTGACTACAGCTCCAACTCCAACTTACATTATTCGGCCCATATCATCTGCCTTTTCCTGTAATGGGCAAAAAACACACACAAAATGTTAGTCAAATTTAGGTAAAAATAAAACATTTTTATTTGTAAAAACTATTAATTATACTTAGTAATGAATATTAATGAATCAGTGTGCACGACAATGTATAATAGATCTTTAATTTCCAAAGGAAAAAAACGTAACACTACACAATATATGACATTGAATCCATCAAATAAGGTTAATTAAATATATCACATCTCTTATGTTTAGTAATAAATTAATATTATAAACTACCTCAATATTATAAATATAAAATTCCAACACTTACAACAAGAATGTGAGTATTGAACTTTGCCCAATCCCAAATTTACAGTCTTGAGGTTATCATGCAATTATTTATCATTTATTTAACATGCATGAAGTGTCAGTGTTGTTTGCTACCCTCCACGAATCAAAATACATGAGTAGAATATGATTTAAACTGTATGGAGAAGACCACAGAGTGAGGAACTGAAGATGAGGATCGGAAGCCTAACAGAACCCCAACCCCAGTCTCAACTACATCAATCCGCGAGGTATGAAAGTCCATCACCATGATCCCTTATTATTGGTGGCGACCAGATCAGATTAGAAATGTAAGCTTTTTTAATTATGTTGGCATGCAAAGTTGTAGCAATCACGCGACGTGAGCGCGACATCGTCATGTCTCTACTAATGGACCACAACTGAACCATGTTATGAGGTCCATAGGAGCACCTGGTAGCGTAATGGGTTAGCTGAAGACTATGTTGTGCGTGAGTGTCTCTGACGGGTCTGACTGGGATGCTCGACTGTCGATACGGTGGTAGTTCAGGGTGAGTCAAATCCAAACGGCCCCACCAATACTAGTCCTCATGCAAGTTCAATCGGCGGGACGCTATTATCAGCTGTCACATGTCGTCCGCGAGTCTCGGATATGTATACTCTATCGAAACTGAATTGTTAAAGGCAGTGCCTCGTGAGTGTTGAGAGCCACTGGTTGCTGCTAATTATGAGTGTAATGAGACCTAAGTGAGGGCAAATTCATAGAGAACCAACTCAACGTCCGTGTGATTTGTCTGTTTTTTCATTCCAACGGTGTTGATCGGGTGACGTCATCACGCCATTTTGATGATGATTGGTCATCCGACCTGGATACGTCCATGGGATACTGTTCCTATGCCTGAGTAGTCGTGCTTAGCATGCGTAATTAAGTCAAGCAATGTGAGATGTCCTAGGTTAACAGCGTCTACCATTATGGTGTAGGTCTCCTAGGAAGTCATAGAGTGTTCATTCGTACTGGCTGATTGGCTCATTATCTCGTCTTTCATGATTCTAGTGAAATCGCATGGTGATGATGATGGGATCATGTGTGAGTTGGTAGTACGAAAAACACCCAATGGATAGTCACTTCTTGTATTTTATCCCAAAATACATGAGTGTTTTCCGTGAGAGAGAATTCCAGTGTAAGTATGGAGGGTGCAGTTCATATGCTATATTCTGTGTATGCGTCTGTCCAAGTAGGATACAGATGTGGGCTTCACGTGATCATACTCCATTGTTGATCGCAGGATCAGAAGTTCTAAGCTAGATTCGTGGATGCGTCTTTTCACATGACATCGTAGTGAGTAGACTGTGTAACTTTTGTCTTATTAGGAGCGAGAGTGACGAAGACTTGGTTGGCTCTTGGATGACTCAGACAGGAGGGAGGAAAAAGTTTTCAGGTCGAACACGCACCTCCCAACCCCACGTAACAAATCCGGGCCGACGGCTGCTCAATGTGGATGTCAACCAGGGTGATGCGGCGTTCACTGTTATGGTCACCTTAGGTGATGGGTGCTCACTTGATGGCTCCATGGTCGGGGCCGATCAAAAACCGGGAAGAGCTCAGAGCAGTGTCAATGAGCTCATATATGTGACTCTGACACTCGGGGTGTATCTCTCCTCCTCTGTCGTGTTTGGTCCCTCCATCGAGTAATGGCGGCGTCTCCATCCTGTGAAAGTTTCGCGTGCGGTCATACGCGTGAATGTGGATTCTATTTTCTTCATTACTTGCTGTCTCTCTGGAACTGTTTCTCTGTACCATTTACAGTCGCGTCGCAAATGGTGATGGTGATGATAGCTCGAATCTGCTTGCGTGTTTGCACATATGGTTTCTTATTTTATTAATGGCTTGATAAATCAAATGAGCTCCTCCCTTTAACCATGGAAAATGACTTGTGACGAGTATTAGCCATACCACAATAGACGAGAGGGATTACCTTCTTCTCACTATGATGTCTTGCACAACATGTTTGTAGCACTTGTTGTTGATTTCCCATCGAGTTTTGACTATAATTTGAGTCTTCTCTATTAGGTCTCGATGGTGGGTGTACTCACAGGTTAAATAGTGTCTACTCTCATGTAGATAGTGATGTATCCAGTAAGATAAGCTTTTAGAGTCTAAGTGCAATTAATGAAGATAGAAAAACATGGATCATACCATGTTATTATTAAGAATGACCTCGCGGCTCATACAGAATGATGTGTTCACCAACAAATTGAGTAGATAGACTGGAGTGTATTTTTGGTGGAAATATATTATTCGTGACTGTGATACTCAATGATATCTAAGAGCGCACCACAATGATCGGTTATTGGTTTATCGCTGTGCTTACACCGAAGTGTGACATCTCTTCGGGTTGCATTATCGTGTTGAGTCAGTGTCCTATCTCAGGGGTATGCCGAGAAGTGTACAGCGAAACTGGGTATTTTAATTGTGACCTGGACAATAGTGCTGGATGCATGAGTGTGTGATTGGTACTCTTTTTACAAGTGGTAAAGCTCTTCCTCATTGTATATAGAGTGATGAAGTAGCTTGACCTTGAGTGACAATGATAGTCGAATCTTCTATCTTGCCGTTAATAGGTATATGCACATCTCCTCCTTGCTCGCTTACACTCTCATAGCACGTCACTGTGAGTGTCTAGTCTAGAGTGTTAGCAGTTGTGCCATTTTGAACATACGACTCCTCTTAATTAGTGACAGCGTGTGCTTCGCGATAAGTTGTCGTCATTATCTTTCTAGCGATTCCGATGTATGTGTGTTTGGTAACAATATACTGCACATTAGACACTATGCTTCCTGAGAGTGACATTATTTGTCTACTCGATTACGATCTTGTGATAGTAATGCTGAGATGAGTGATGCTTGCCATAATTTTAGTATTTCATGGATATGCTTTAGGAATTGTTAGTGTGAGGCAAGAGGTTGATTAAGGCCCTTATTAAGTGATATAGCAGAGCGTAAGTTTTATGGGATGCTCTCTGTATGTAGTAGTGGGACGGTTGCAAAGAGTGTGTGTAGATGTCTGTACATGAGTCTCTTCCACCTGAGAATATCCATATTATGACAAAAGTCATTTATAATCTCGACATTAGATTCTGGACTACTTGCCAAATGAGACTAACCCTCTCTCTGGTACTGTTTGAATGGTGCCGGCTCCGGCCATCCTGGTATCTGTTGCCAAAATAGCATTCCAGGTAATGGTTTGCATTTTACTACCTAGACAGATACTGTAAGCATAGGCAAAACTGATGGTCTGACCATTAGCGGTACTCTCGAATGGTATGCACTACATTAAAACTGTCAATTGTCTTGCGAGGTCTCTTTTTGAAGCCTTACTGATATGACCCTAATGCTCCAACCCTCCTAGTTGTCCTTCTTAAGAATGGTTTAGTGACGTGTGATACATGGCTGTGACTCGCTTGGACAATGAGTACTAGACTTATGACATAGAGCTCTTAAGACTTAAAAATCAATCAATTGTCGCTGTGACATAATACATTTATTCTACCTCTATATTGCTTAGCCTATCTCAGTGAGCATCAGTGTGAAGGACTCCGTGAGCACATGAAGGACGTGTCTCCCGCTAGAAAGAGATTCTTTGGGTGCAGTTTTGTCTACTCAATAAAGTATTCCTCAGGTGTGGTGTGCCCAGATGCTCATGGTGGGCTAAGCACCTGTGTACTGCGTGTGAAGTGGCCATTAGAGCATGATCTTACATTGAGAGTGAAGCGACGGCGAGAAACCACTGTTATAATTTCCTGCTTCACTATGTCTTAATTCTTGCTGTGCTGGTCTCTTTTTTGATAACTCTATAGTGTGTAGTGATACTTTTATCAATTTGGTGTGCTTTCTTATTTGGTCTCTCTATCTAGGGGACTCCATTGACTTAGCTTTCCGGACACTCCACTTGGTACATTTTAGGTTGCCTTGGATAGAACCAGATTGAGCCTTGTTTTTATTCATGTCCACATATTCACCCCTCTCAACAGTGGGGCCAGTGTTCAACACCTGTGCCACTAAAGATATATCATGCATATTTACTCATATCAATAATATATCGTGGAGAAAGGCGTGATGTGATCTACTTTGAGATATCCGTGCAGAGCGAAGATATTACTATGCACAAGCAACCTTTGACTACATGCATTTTAATACATTGTACCTTGTATTCTATCTCTCAGATGAGAGCTGGTATTTACCGGTACGTAGTGAAAAAGAGGAATAGCTCGTTAGAACCTTAATGTAGTCGACTGCTAGAGTGAAGAACTGATGACGATGATGTGCACACATATGATGAAGGAAGTATGAGCTGTCAGAAGTATGAACTGTTATGAATCGCCATATGATTGAGTCTTCCTCCGCTCATATGAAGAGATAGATACTGAGGAGTCGAGTGATAAAGATGCACAACTCTAAGTGTTTTATAAGTTCTTTGAATTATATGAGAGTGTGTTACCGAGTGCTCGGAATGGTGCCATAGTGAGTGAGAGAGTGCATTCTTCACAAACATCACTGCTCCTGCTGTGGTTTGTTCAGGATCCATCCGGCTTTAGCTGTCATTCCTAAGAGTTTACAAACATTAACTGTCCAAGGAGCTAAACATATGGTAAGAAACACTACTATATCAGACAGGACATGCGCATTAATATGAATCATTCGTCTGACATATAAAAAACAAAAAAGACAAGAGAGAAACCAGCCATACGTCATTCTCGCTAGTCAATTACTGCGCTGGCGTGCCGTCGTTTATGTGTTGTGTTAACTGCATTTTGCCAAGTAGTCTAGAGTTGTGTGAGCCATGATTGTGATTGTGATCCTTCATATTCCGAGTGTAGAAATTGATCTATATCTAGGTTCTTTCGCGACAAAGTTCAATATATGCTGTGCGATCATCTGTCCTTCCTATGATGTTGGATGATGTCTAACTGCGTTAAATGTTTTGGGAGGAGTGGTTGCGTCAACAATTCGGTCTTACTGTATCAGTTTGGGCACACAAAGAGTGACACAATATGGATATAAAAACTGAATTATTTATATCTTAAGTGGGGTTATTTGATTCAGAAAGGGTTCATGCACCCATTGTTTGTACAACCCCCTTAATGGTTTTTGGGGGGAAGAGTGTCTCTCTGAAATTGTAATTTTTGATTTTTTTTTTTTTTTTTTTTTTACCATACCTGGCGATCATTTTGTCTGGTATAGTGTTATTCCATAGTAACGCTCGATCGTCAATCAGTCTATTTATTGTATTACCTAGCATATTGCAGTTGCTTTGTATTGTAGTGTTGCAAAGATCGACACAGGGTTAAAGACAGCTTTGTGTTTGTTTTGCAATTAAGAAACCACTTATATTAAGAAGGAATCATCTCACATGCACTCACCTAAAAGAGCAGTGTTTTCTGTTAACTACGAAACGCCAAATACCTTGAACAGATGTCCTATAGTATGTCCTGGTTTGTTTTGTTTTTTGTTAAAAATAGTAACTCAAGATAGGCATGGTTCTAAATTCTGTGTGATTTATCTTTATGACATGAACTAACGCTCAAAACGTGTAAATAACGTCACTTCCATGTGAATCCCACCTAATGAAAGAGTAATATTACGCACCAATATTGAGTCAAGATACCACCTACAAAGTCCAGGCTGGGTACTGAGAAGAATGGAAATCTGAATGAGCGCAAAGATTCGTCCTATAGTAATGTCATGGTGAATGAATACTATTGTGTTACTTTCACAACACTGTGTAAACAATTTCCAACTCTTATAGTCAGCTCGTATCATAACTTAATATATGGGAACCGACAGCATTTGTATGTAAAAGATATAAAGTTAATTGTTATAATTTATACAGTGGTGTAAAAAAGAAGATATATAGTACGATCTGAGTGCTTGTATGATGTGGCTCCTGTCAGTGTCGCTTTTGGTATTATGTGTTGCAAATTAAACTCTACAGATCTGGTCCCATTGTCGTTATTATAGGGATACACTCCTCTGCGTATTATTGTACTTGTACTGGATGTGTATCCAAGCGCAAATGAAACGTTCCTACAGGTCCAATACTATTGTAATATTCAGCAACATTCATTAGAGTGAGACACTCTTCTGCTCACAAGGTATGATACTCCGCCATAACTCCAAAACAACAAAAACATAATACAGTAGCATGGTGTCTCTTGAATAAATAAGAGATCTGCTGTTTTTTGTGGTGGTCTTTTGATGTAATAATTAATTGTCCAATACTATAAGGGCAAAAACTGCTTTGGATTTGTGTTATTAGGAAAGTCCTAAGTCAACTAATTTGCAACATTTGATTGGGGACTTTGCTAAAAGGTACCATTACTCAAAACAAACAATGGGTTTATTGAAAAGGTTAATTTGTTAGAAATCTGGATTTGTTAATGCAAAACGAGTACTTCAATATATATATTTTAGATTTTATCTTTTTTCTTATAATATTGTAAGAGACATTTCTATAATTTTGTTCTAAAACCATGATGAAGTTTTACGATCATATTAGACAAAATGGGGTCTTGTGACCTTTAAATCATGTTATAATGTTGTTACCTTATCAGAAATATTCCCGGACTTGTGTTTTGTTTGATTAACATGTGTTTGAATAAATCTTTGTTATTAGTCTGTCTACATCTCAAAAGCTTAAAATGCTCTGTTCCACCTTGTGATGTTGTTTAGTCGTAGTTTTCAGTTTAACAGTGACCTTTTACCTGGACTGAAATGATCCATGATTCTAGTGAAAATGGCATGGAGTTTAAAAACGCAGTGGAGTACTTCCTGCATTTCCACATGACATCACAAGGTGGTGTTTTCGGTTTGAACTTGAACTTGAAGACCTTTAGCCTAAATATGCAGGATTTGTGTGTCAAACATGTGAATGAAACAAAATGCATGGTATGTTTTTGATGCAAAAACAACCGTATAACTTGGATCAGAACGTAGTGTAATATAGACCTGTAAAGAATGTGCTAAAATGAGTAAAAGATTTATTTCAAGTCATGATGCTTTAACCTGTTCTACAGACCAGCTTGGTTTGAATTTGTCACATTTCTATGTCGTAAAAAATTGTGAATTTATTCATTTAGATTATTTAGATTGTCACGTGTACATGTGCATTGTTGTTACTGATTATATGTTGATTTACTTCCTTTGCCGTCACTGTCTGAGTTACTGTCTAAATGTTTTACGGCCCCTCAACTCTGCTCTGTTTGGACCTTTGCCCTATCCTGGCCTGTTAAAACTGGGGACGGGGCTGGAGAGGCAGAGGCTCAGTCTGCAGCGGGACACACAGCATCTCCTCTTTCTCCTTATCCTCTCTGCACCATGACTACTTTCGATGACATCCTGGAGGAAGCAGGGAAGTTTGGCCCGTGCCAGAAACGCATCTTCGCTCTGCTGTGTATGGTGTCTATGCCGTGGGCCGGGATCTACGTGGGGATAGTGTTCCAGGGCTTCACTCCTCCTCACTGGTGCAGACAGCCTGGGGTGGAGGAGCAGAGGCAGACCTGTGGATGGACTCTTCAGGACAGTGTGAAGAGGAGCGTGCCTCTGCTAAATGTGTCCGGGGAGCTCCAGCCCAGCTCCTGTCTGCAGTACGACGTGGAGCTGAACCAGAGCGCTCTGAGCTGTGAGCAGAGCCAGGACCTGAACCTGACTCACAGTCCCACAATCAGCTGCCAACACGGCTGGGAGTATGACTACGAGGGCCGCCGGTCTTTTGTCACTGAAGTAAGTTACAGCGTTGGTTTATATTTGCTTCACTGCACAATTACAGAAGGACATGCAATTTTACTACTTCCCTTCTCTCTCAAATAATATTCACTCACCTCGCACACACTGTTTTGCAATGACCCCCTAATTTGAGCCAGTTACAAATGTCACTCCATATCACATACTGAAAAGTAACACTAGTGTGTATTTGTATGTAAAACAATAGTGTTTTTTGGAACTGTTTTATTAACTTTTTTGTTCTAGTTTGATCTGGTGTGTTCAGATGCCTGGCTGGTGGACATGTACCAGGCCACTCTCAATGTGGGCTTTCTCATTGGGAGCATTGCTATTGGATACTTGGCTGACAGGTAATGTTGTATTTGAAATGATTGTAATAATATCATATTGATGTAGTGTACAGATTATTAACAGCATATTACTATAAAGATAAATAAATGATTGTAATAGACTTAAACTTAGAAAACTTTATTGATCCAAAGGGAAATTACTTGGACACGGTAGAATAACAAAGATATATATATATAATTTGTGAATCTTCTGCTAACTCAAATTAATCAATGGAGAGTTACAAGTCAGATCGATGGAGAGGTGACCCTGCTCACAGTAAGAGTGTGTGTTTTTCCATATTATTTAAAGCGTCAAAAACATTTGTAAATAGATATTTTCTTTGCCATTCTGTGGAACATTCAAAGCAAAGTGAAAACCTCTCGGACGCTCCATCAGAAAGTTGCTTAACACTTCCTTAAATTGCACCAAAACAGCTCTTTGACCCTTTGATGCCAGAACTACTTTTCCACAGTGTATTTAATTTTCTAATGTTAAAATTAGATCCACAACGCATAGGAGTAGTAGTATTTCCCTTGCCTGTTGTGTGCAGGTTTGGTCGTAAACTCTCTTTCCTGATGTCCAACCTGCTGAATGGGATTACTGGAATCTTGGTTGCCGTGGCGCCCAACTACACATCTTTGCTGGTGTTCAGGACGCTGTATGGCTTTGGCGTGAAAGGAGGCTGGGTGGCGGGATACGTGCTCAGTAAGAGAATGACTACTTTTTATTAGCAGCTTTTCAACCAATCACAGTGAGCAGACTGACCACACAGGGAAAATAAGGATACACTTTTCTTGCAGTGGAGGAGAGGACCATTGAACAGATATAAAAGTTTGTTTTCAGTTGTTAAACGCTATGACAACAATCCTAATTCTTCATCATTCTGAAACCCATAGATAGTTATTAGATTTGGATCGTAGAAGTTAAGAATGCAATTTCAACAGATGCTCTTTGTTTAGTCAAAGCAAAATTTTCTATTAATTTGTTAAATGTTACACTTACATGTTACAGATGTTACAAAACATTTTAAACTTTTTTTTTCTGTTTTACTAATAGCGTTAAACTTTTAAACTTCTTATATTAACACACTTGGCCAATAATCGTCATTGTTAATGTGTTAAAAAAAATTGCACTGTTAAGAATTAGTCAGGTCTTGGGCTTAGGCTTGGGATCCAGAATCACACTTCTCCAATATTTTATGAAAATATTTTGAGTTATTAAATACTTAATTAATACCCTAACTTTAAGCCCTAACCCCTTACTTAGGCCTGAATCATTCTTTGTTCATGCTTTATTAAGATTACTTAAGGTACTTATACATTTATTACCCAATAACTATAGTCTTTAGTTTTTCTTTACTTTAACATATATTACCATTACAATACTTTCACTTTGGAGACATATTTAAAGTACTTTCTTACAATGTTTTCCTCTTTCTTGAGATACATGCATTTATTTACGTTTGCTTATGTGCATAACTGAATTTAAGCCCATACATAGCTCCGCTGTATGTGCAGTCACAGAGCTGGTGGGCGTAGAGTTCAGGCGCACAGTGGGGGTGCTGTACCAGATGTTCTTCAGTGTGGGGATCCTCCTCTTGCCTCTGCTCGCCTACTACATCACAGACTGGCGCTGGCTGCAGGTGGTCATCACCGTCCCGTACATCCTCTTCCTCTCATACTACTGGTGAGACTTACACAATACAAATCAGTGGAGAAGGAAATATTTATATTTTGCTGTAAAATTTTAAGCTCTGAATATGTGTAAAATCCCTCTGTCATCCAGGTAGAAAGGAGAAATTCAATTTGCCAATTGGACAAACGTTTATTTAGGTCGAAAACATTTTGCAGCTCATCCAAGCTGCTTCTTCAGTTCTGGAGAAGCAGCTTGAAAGCAGCTGTGAAATGTTTTCAACCTAAATAAACATTTGTCCAGTTGGCAAATTGAATTTCTCTTTTGCCTTTAAACTCTGAAATAAATTTGTTACAATAATGATAATGATAATAATAAATAAAACAATAAAATTTGTTGAAGTAGTTATAGTAGTAAATATTATAAAATTGTACTTGATTTTGAAATTCTTATTATTAATTTTCAATAAAAACTAAGACCAACACATAAGACAGTGCCCACAATAACTGAATAAAAATCTTTTACAAAAACAGGCTCCCAAATATTCTCAAATGAAGCTTGTTTACCCTTCCACATAAATGTTTTCTTGTTTGTTTGTTTGTTTTTTAAATTCTGTTTATTACTTACATTCTTATACATTTTTCTGTATAGTGTTCACAACTGTAACCCTTGAGTTGCTGAATGCCCTCTATGTCTCTCTGTCTTTTTCCCACTCCAATTATCTGCCTCTCATCTCAGAAATGAACCTTTCCTGAATAACTTTAGAATGATCTTGAGCTGTTACACAACAAGTATAAAAGCACAGACTAGTATACGTCCACGGACCACTGTCGAACCTACCCAGACGACAGAAGGATTACACAGATATAAAACAGCATGGTTATATAAAAGAAAGTGCAATGATTTAATGCTGAAAATCACATGCTAATGTTTAAAGAAAGAGTGTGTTTCATTATTATTGTGGTATCAGAATCAGTATCGAGTACTGAGCTATTTCCCTAATATTGAAATCAAATTTAGATCACACAAACCAACTCAATACAAAAACATTACATCTACCTATTGCATTTCCCACTGAACTTTATCATTTGCTCTTGCTGCAGGTTCATCCCGGAGTCCCCAAGATGGCTCCTCTCTCAGAACAAAAAGGACAAAGCTGTGGAAATAACCGAAGCCATGGCCAAGGAGAACAAGATGACTTTGTCCAAGAAAATCGAGGTACAAACGGCTGGACTCACAGCTGCACTCACAGCCAGGCCAAGGTCATGTCAGGGGAGCACAGCCTATACAACAGAAACAGCAGAAAGCACACTGGAATTTGGGCTTCATCCCTGAAACAATAATCACAGGATGAGATTTTAATTTGTTTATTAGTCAAGATTAAATTTGGATTTCAATGGTCACATTTAGCAAATCAAAAGGCAGCAGTTACGTTGGTATTGATGCTTTGAAGTGACATCCCGCTGGGGGTGTTCTACATGTATCTCTCATGGTAGAATGTTTAGTAGTTACCACGGTGTAGGGTGACCAAATTTTCAGAATCAAAAACTGCGACATCCTTAGTTTATGACGGTTGGTAATAATAAAATTGTGAAACGAGGAAAATTGTTACACAGAGACCATTCATGACTAAAATGTGAGTCACTATAGTCACAGTTTCTTTGTAATTTTCAAGCAGCTTTTCTGTTTTTTGCCCAAAGAAATGACAATTTATGGCTCTCTTTACTGTTGGCAGGGATCAAATAGGTCAAAAATAGGGACACCTGGGACATTTTTTGTATAAAACTGGGACAAATCACTTGTTTTAGATAAATCTGCTGGGACATGGGACACAGGGCTCAAAACTGGGACTGTCCCGGGTAGATAGGGAAATTTGGTCATGCTACCATGGCTGTCAAAAAAGTTTTAAGGCTGTCTGAAAACTGATCTGAACAAAATAACTGGATTGCAACACATTTTCAGAAGTCTGTTCTAGTCAATAAAAGCGTTCGTTGTCCTGTTTAAGAGTTTGTTTTTCAACAGAAATGCTGAGTGTGACTATCGGGAAAAAACATTGGCTAATCCTGGCTTGCATGTGACTAATTTGATGAGAGAGACTTGTTTACCAGCACAAATCAGTTCACCTGTTGTAGTTGCAGCTAAGTCAGTTCTTTATGGTCAGATTGTGTTAAAATAAAACTCAGATTAAAGTCTAATAAAGCCTGAAACAGAGCAGAGCCTACAGTTAGCATCAGTATTAACTGGCAGTGAACTGTTGTCTTATATCACAGGTGTCAAACATATGGCCCAGGGGCCAGATGCGGCCCTCCAAGACCTTTAATCTGGCCCCCATCTGATTTTCTACTAAAATATTTTTATTATATTTTCTGTTAAAATATTGTTAATTTTCTGTGGTGTTTATCATATCAGCGTCTCCAGCGTCTCTGTACGTGGCCCCTCCCACCAGAGCAGCACAAATGAAGACTTGTCTCTTCCCAAATGCTCTTAAAGAACGATCGTTTTGACTGTTGACCGTGACACCCTCATCAGCAAAATGTCCAACATGAGAAAAGTGGAGCCGAGTGCAGGATTTTACAACAAAAATTGACTCATTCCTATTTCCATACAAGTTCATGTTAAAACATTGTGTTGAAATTGTATTTTTCTTAAAGTTTCAGGTTGTTCATAATTAGTGCTGTCATGCGATTAATTCATTATGATCTGTAATTAATTAATCTAATTAATCTCTTTCTAATCTCACCTAAAAATTGCTGAGAAAAGACTTCAGGTATTTTCATTTAAATTCATTATTACATTATTGTGGCAGATCAAAAGACTCATATAGAACAAAAAAAAAGTGACTTTATAAAGTCATTTATTGTTTAACAAACTTTAATAGATGCAGTCACTTACATTCCACCGTATCATCATTATTATTACTATTACTAATCTGCAGTGTTGGAAGGGTTACTTTTAAAATGTAATCCCCTACAGATTACAGATTACATATCCCAAAATGTAGTTTGTAACTTAATCCATTTAATTACTTAAAGTGAGTAACGTAATTTGAATACTTTGGATTACTTGATATTGTCATGCTTTTTAAAACTACATGAATGTAGCAACCGCATCCTGCAAATGTTGTTCTTGTTTGTTCTCTTCAATTTGGCTGTTGAGCCCAAGTCTCCATGAATAAGAAACTGTTTGCTGTAAAGTAGCAAAGACCAGGAAATCTGAACATAACTTTTGTCTACTTAAAGACAATAAAAAGTCCAGTCTTTCCTTAACTATAAAAAAATATTATTGATAGAGAAATGCTTTATATATGAGATCACTGGTTTTAGTCCTGGTTTTAGTCCTGGTTTAGACCTGCTTTAGTCCTACTTTAGTCCTAGTTTAGTCCTGGTTTAGTCCTGGTATTAGTCCTGGTGTTAGTTCTGGTTTAGTCCTGGTTTAGACCTGGTTTTAGACCTGGTTTTAGTTCTGGTTTTAATTCTGGTTTAGTCCTGGTTTAGACCTGGTTTTAGTTCTGGTTTAGTCCTGGTTTAGTCCTGGTTTAGACCTGGTTATAATTTTGGTTTTAGTTCTGATTTAGTCCTGATTTAGTCCTGGTTTAGACCTGGTTTAGTTCTGGTTTAGTCCTGGTTTAGTCCTGGTTTAGACCTGGTTTAGTTCTGGTTTAGTTCTGGTTTAGTTCTGGTTTAGTCCTGGTTTAGAACTGGTTTAGACCTGGTTTAGTTCTGGTTTAGTCCTGGTTTAGTCCTGGTTTAGACCTGGTTTAGTTCTGGTTTAGTCCTGGTTTAGTCCTGATTTAGTCCTGGACTGGGTTAGTCCTGGTTTTAGTCTTGGTGTTAGTTCTGGTTTAGAGGCGCACAGGAGTAAGTGCGGTTTACGCAGCGTACGCGAGAAAACGTACGCGGCGCACGGGAGGACAGCGGTGTCCACGCAGTAACTACGGAAGGAAACGTTAATGACGATGATGAAGATGTGTGTGTTTGTGTTTGTGTGTGTTTGTGTGTGTTTGTGTTTGTGTGTGTTTGTGTGCGTGTCCCCTCATGTGGCAGGTCACTATAGGACAGTAGTGCAGACATCATGAGCCTATGCAGGTTGTTTTCACCAGTGACATTTAAGTTGTAGGCGATTTTATATTTGTTATTTTCTTTTATATTTCACGTCGGGAGAATAATTTCCAAGACACGAATGCGTTTTTACCTGTGCACTGCTGCCTCTGTTCTACTGGCTCTACGACCTTGTCCATTGTGCGACTGACGCCGCCAACGTTAACATAATGTTTACATCGCTCTTACTGCGCGCGTTTTGTGTGGGTTTCCGGCAATGAGTGGAATTACCGAAATAAAAAAAATTATAAATGTGGTGTGTGTGTGTTGTTGTAAAAAATTTTATAATAAAGCAACTCGCATACAGAAACAGTAAAGTTAGAGATTAAAAATGAGATTAACGCGATTAAAAAACATAACGCGCTAAATATGACTGTAATTAATTAATCGCAATTAACGGGATTATTTGACACCCCTATTCATAATATTATAATATTTTGTAAAAGAAAGAGTTCATCAATTAAAAAAGATTTCTGTAATAGATTTGTGTTTCTCTGCACAAATATTTAAATGTATTGTTATTTTGGGGGTTTATATGTCATGAGTTTTCTGATCTGGCCCCTTTCGGATTAAAGTAGGTTGGATATGGCCCCCGGACCAAAATGAGTTTGACACCCCTGTCTTATATCTAGGAGATTCTTGTATTCTTTTAGGAGTTTATATTTCAGTCTTCTCTCAAATCTCAAATTCTCCTGAACCTAATTTGAACTAGGTGTATGACTTGGTGTATTGCAAATCTAATTACAATACTTAAATCATTCCTTGTCTTAATTTGTTTATTTTTGCCATTTGTTTATCATTAATTACGTGCTTTATGATGTGTTAATGCTTGAAATGTGTATAATAACAGTGCTAGATGTTTACAAAAGGTATTTTCAAATCAGATCAACTAACTCTGAATACTTGTGCAGACTTTGACGGACGATAATGCAGCAGCTGATTCCACCACTGCCACCTTCATGGACCTCATCCGAACGCCTAAAATGAGAAAACACACTTTTATTCTCAGCTACAACTGGTATGTTCCTCCATCACAATATGGACATGTGGTCAGAAGGTTGGATTCCATAAGCATATAATGAGCAGTACTGACATCTAGTGGTGACATTGTGAAGTGCAATATATTGTCTATTGAGCTTATACCATACCTTCCAGCATATGTAATTATTTGCTTTATTTGTTTAAACTGACTTCTTAGTAGACTCTACGAAGGCCAATTTTGTTATCCGTTTAAAAAAATTACATATTCATTAAAATTAAAAAGACATTTCTTACATCACCTCAATTGCCAGTACACTGTAAATAAAAATATTTGGCCTTTTGAGTATCCATCAGTTCTAAATCAGGTCTACAACAACCCACATCTAAACCAGGGCTAAAACGGATACCAGTACTAACCCAGTACACTGTAGTCACAGTCAATTCTGCAGAACTGCAGAACAACCCAAAACATGCTACATAGGTCTCCAGGAAGAATAGTAGATGATAGCTCAAGTCAATTAAATACAATCAGTTAGTTACCCTGCTCAAGGAATACAGGTGGAAATTAGCACTGGTGCTACAACTTGGTACAATGCATCTCTCCTGTGTGTATATTGTTCACTGTCCCTGTCTCATTAAATAAACAAATAAACTAAACTTGAACAAGTGCAGTATCCTGTTATAAGCTGTTGTATTCCTCTGCAGGTTTACCAGTGCAGTGGTGTACCAGGGCCTGATCATGAGGCTGGGGATTTTAGGAGGAAACGTGTACATAGACTTCCTGATCTCTGGTCTGGTGGAATTCCCTGCGGCCTTCCTCATTATCTTCACCATCGAGAGGATTGGCCGAAGACTCCCATTTGCTACAGCCAACTTTGTGGCAGGAGCGTCCTGTTTTATCACTGTCTGTATTCCTGACAGTAAGTATCAAGTATCTAGTCCATATACACTATATTTTAAACGCGTATTAACTAAAAGCATATGGTTATTATCTGCACAATCTGACATCAAACACTAAAAATGCATCTGTTAGAGTAAGGCTTAGGACAGCATTTAAGATAATCTACATTAATCTGCGTTGAAAACATGTGTGCACTAGGGGTGTGCAAAAATATCAAAATATCGATATATCGTATCATTTAATGTAATGATACAGTATTGATATCGGGGACTGCTGTATCGATATATCACAAGTCTAATTTTTGGTGTATTTTACTCAATTATTTTGTTACAGAGCTATAGTTTTTTTTTGCTTGTTCAGAAGAAAAAAACTAATTTATGGGAAACATTTGACATTTTCACTGTTTTGATGACTAAAATGTTTGTGTTTCATATTAACTTTTGCACAAAAATTTGTTAAACAAAGACTTTTAGTATCACAGCCATGATTTAGCCACAATTTTTTATTCAACCGTATCAAATCAATTTGAAATATATTGTATCGAACCAAAAAAGCACTGTATCGAGATATGTATCGTATCGATGCCTATGTATCGAGGTATGTATCGTATCGGCAGCTTCATAATGATGCCCAGCCCTAGTGTGCACAGTCTGTACAGTCTGTATAAATATTGTATTATATTATTATGTTATATTATTATATTACTATGGCTGCGTGATCCCGGCCTAAATCTAACGGTCTGTGAAGTCTAATACAATTGATGAAAACTATGTGTTGATTAAATTTTATGCCTGATTACAAGCAAAAAAATTATATTACTCACGTGGGGCATTTTTCATGGTTGGCCAGCAGGGGCACAAAAAGTAAAAAAAAAACTTACATGCACAGGGTTAGTCTGATTGTGCTAAAATTGTAATCACTAATGTGTGATCTCGGCCTAAATATAATACACTATAAAGCATATTTAAAGTGTGCACTATAGCGCCCCCTAGCATAGACAAGAAACGTCAACATTATCAGATTTGTACCAAATTCGGGGATTCAATTCTATGAACGACTAGAAACAAAAAAAACAAAAAAATTACAGACATGGGTAATTTTTCACTTTAGCCAGCAGGGGCGCAAAAACTCCTAAAAAAATCATTTAAAGGTGCACTGTGTAATTTTTCTGATGGAGGATCTGTGGGCTTGGGCAGTTGTCGGGCATGTGGGTCGCGTGGGAGAGGCGTTTAGTCCTGGTTTAATTCTAATAATACTGCTACTACTACAATAACTACAGATATGAAGTGTATTTATTTAAAAGTAAGCTACATGAAAATCTATGTACTACAGTCAATGAATGTTCTGTACTGAGTAAATGAGTTTAAACATTTCTTTCAGGTATGTTCTGGTTCAAAACAGCTGTGGCTTGCATTGGTCGCCTCTGCATTACTATTACCTTTGAGATGGTAGTTTTTGTGAACACAGAGCTCTACCCCACATTTGTCAGGTAAAACAGTATTTATATCATTTTAGTAGTATTTATTCACATTTTAAAGTGCTTATTTAATTAAATTTTTTATTTTTTTTGTGTAGGAACTTTGGTGTGTCTGTGTGCTCCACCCTCTGTGACGTTGGGGGCATCGTGGCTCCGTTCCTGCTCTACAGATTAGCTGTGATTTGGCTCGAGTTGCCCCTCATCATTTTTGGTATTTTCTTTTAATAAAGTGAAATGTTATATAATACAAAGCTGCTTTTGTCCTAGCATTTTCTGGTTGTTGTCTGTAGGCTCCCTCGCGATCCTGGCTGGTGCTTTGGTCTTGCTCCTTCCTGAAACTAGAGGGGTCCCACTTCCGGACACCATAGAGGATATAGAATTCCCAGAGAGGTGACAGCTTCCTGCTCATTACCAACATTATAATCATATACCTTTAAAACACCTTTGAAAGTCTAGTTGTATTTCTACTATCACAAAACACAGAGGACAATTGTACAGACAAAATTGGCCATGTAGAAAATAAATAATATTTAGCAGCATCCAAGCAAATCCATAATTTTAAGCAGCTCTAGATTCTTTTTATGAGCTCAACTACTAGAGTTAACTTGTTAACTTATAGAATGTAAAATTTCCCCATCCATACTTTGCGGTGACATCAAACTGGAGGTGTTCTACATTTATGTATATGACCAATATTCATTAGTTACCATGGTGACACAAAGGCTACATTAGCAAACACAGCCAAAAAAGATTTAAATTGTTTGAAAACTCAAACAAAATACAAAATGGATTTAAATAGAGCATTTTCAGGAGCCTGTGATCAATACGAGTGTTCATGGTTCTGTTTAGAAGTTTGATTTTCAACTAAAAGATGAGGGTAACTAAAAAATAGTTGGCTAAAGCTATTTGGTGATCGTAATTATCTGTGTAAGAGACTTGTTGAAGAGCATAAATCAGCTCACCTTCCAACTTAGTCAGTTCTTTCTGGTCAAACTGTGTTAAAACAAACTCCATTGCTTCCAACAGAGTAGTGCCTATAATTAGCTTCACACCCTCAGAGAATGTTAATGACATGAGCTGCAAAGTATCAGTGTATCAACTGTATTTTTTGTCTTTTATTCAGGATGAAGGAGAAAGAGACGAATGGACATCTGTTCAACCTGCTCCCCACCAATGATGTGACAAACAACAAGAACCCTGCAGTAGTTTAGTCTCAGTTTAAAGCCATTAAACCCTGTGCCAGTAACCTGTGTTTTTAAAATCAAAAGATGGTTTAAAACTCCAAGCCAGTTTGTAATCCAAATGCAGAAGATCACAGGGCTACCTTTTTCAAAGCTTTATACTGGCCCTATTTGCTGTCAATGTTAAATAGTGCAAGTGAAATTATTATGAGCAGATATGTATGTATGTAGGCCTGTATGTTGTTATAGCTGCTAGTTCCTGTGTCATTTCTTCATTTCAGTTTTTTTTTTTTTTTTCAAAATTTAAATCCAATAATGTACCTGATGCTGTCCTTTGTGTCACCACACATGTACACACACGTACACACACACACACACACACACACACACACACGCACACACACACACACACACACACACACGCACACACACACGCACGCGCACACACACACACACACACACACGCACACACACACACATTACACCAATTAAATTATGTAAAGTACTGTTTTATTTATTGTTACTTAAATAAAGTAATGGTTTATCATAACTTATCTTTTTTTTTCCCAAATGTTGTGCTACCATTTGCTATGCACATACATATAATGATATAAAGTAACTTTATCTTAATTCTAAAAGTGATTTTGGCAGTCTGATTAGTTTAACCTTGTTGTCACAAGATAATAAAAAATAAAATTACAAGTAAGAGCATATTAATTACATAGACTTACAAACCTGTATAATTTTACAAACATTTTTTTCAAACCACAGACCAATTTTCCTACAGCCACAATTTTCAATAATTTTTGAAAAACTCTTCAACTCACATTTCGAAAAGTTTCTTGACAAACATCAAATAATTAATGAAGGACAATACGGGTTTAGGACAATGAATCACCTCAGTGACAATAATCGATGCAATAGAGAGAATCACAAATGCACTAGATAACAAGAAATATGCTGTTAGTATTATTATTGACTTTAAGAACACCTTTAATACTATCAGTCACTCAATATTACAACATGAACTCAAACAATATGGTATCAGAGGGGTAGCTGGGAACTGGTTGAAAAGTTATCTTACAGAAAGGTTGCAATATGTTCAAATGGAAAAGTATACATCAAAAAACCTTGGCATTGCTCGTGGAGTCCCCCAGGGGTCTGTTATGGGATCAAAATTGTTCAATATATAAATGATATATTTACTGTATCTCAGTCACTAAAATGTATACTCTTTGCAGACAACACCAACATATTTTATATTAGTCACAATTATAATGAACTCATAAGTTCTCTAAATGAGGAGCTAAACAAAAAGTGGATGGATATTAATAAATTGTCATTAAACTTGACAAAGATGTTTGGCAATCACAAGATTAACAAAGAGTTACCAATTATGACTGAAGGTGTCCAAATAGAAAATGTAAATGAAAATAAATTCCTGGGAGTTATACTAGAGAGTCAATTATCATGGAAAGCCCACATTAGACATGTATAAAACAAAATATCCAAAAGTCTTGCTACTGTAAACAAAGTGACATATTACCTTGATCAAATACTCAAAAAATCATACTGTGTTGAAATGTGGGGGAACACTTACCAATGAACACTTAATCTATTTATTTATATTACAGAAACAAGCTTTGCAAATTAGCCATAAATTTGGATTTTAAGAATACACTCATAATCTTTTTATTCAATCCAAGCTCCTAAAGATTCCTGACCTTGTAAAATATTATACACTGGTAATTTTATTTAGAGCATTCAACAATTTATTTACAAAGTAATCTACAAAGTTTATTCAAAATGAGCTCTTGGGGGAGCTATGGAGCATTACCATTGACCATTGATCATTTTAGCTCCCCCCTAGCGCCGCCCATGGAAGAGTTTGGTCAATGATCACTGTCATACTCCTCCATGCCTGACTTAGGACATCCATTTGATTGACTGCGGACATTCAAGGTATGCACAAGGTGTGCAGGCGTACCCCTGCAGGCACCTGTGATAGGGTTAAGATCAGGGTTAGTGTTGGGGTTAGAGCTAGAATTAAAGCTAGGGTTAGGGTTAAGGCTAGGGTTAAATTTAGGGCTAGGGTTAGGGTTACAGTTAGGGTTAGGAGTTAAGGTAGGGTTAGGATTAGGAGTTTGGGTGAGGTTAGAAGTTAGAGTTGATTTAGGAATTAGGGCTACAGATTTAGTGTGTTTGCGGGACGTGGCATGTGTGGGGCGTGGCATGGGTGGGGTATAAGCGCAAGCGAGGGTCGATCATTGACGCTTGCGGCTATATAGATTTGGTATCAGTCCTTGAAAGTGCTCCCTTGATATGAGATCTTATTTGCAGTTCTCAATACACCTTATTTGAATACATATCAAAGTTGTTGAATAACTTTCTTACTTGAACTGCATCAAACAGTAACATGCCTCTTTGCCTAAACCCTTAAGCAACTGCAGTTACACTGTGTTCAGATTGTTTTTACTCAGACATGGTGAGCTTTGACGATATCCTGGTTGAGGTTGGCCCCTTCGGACGGGCTCAAAAGCGCATTTTCGCTCTGTTGTGTCTGGTGTCTCTGTCCATGGCCTGGACCTACGTGGGGATAGTGTTCCAGGGCTACACTCCTCCTCACTGGTGCAGACAGCCCGGGTTGGAGGAGCAGAGGCAGACCTGTGGATGGACCGTTCAGGACAGTGTGAGGAGGAGCGTGCCTCTGCTGAATGAGTCCGGGGAACTCCAGCCCAACTCCTGTCTGCAGTACGATGTGGAGCTGAACCAGAGCGCTGTGAGCTGTGAGCAGAGCCAGGACCTTGACCTGAGTGGGGCCGCTCTCACCAACTGCAAGGTCAGGAGGGCATGTTTGGACTGCGTGAGTTTGTTTGAGTTTGTGTACAGTGGTGGTTCACAGTCTCAAATGTAGTCAAATGGTTATAAACAAGTGTAGCAAAAGGAAAATTCAATTCTGTCAGCTGGACAAGAATTGAATTTTTCTTTTGCTGTGGATCCTTCCTGTTTCCTTTGTACCTTGCTGTGTGTTGTATAAGAACCTAAATAAAAAGAGACTGTATGTGTCACCATCACCTATGCAGTTTAGTTTAACTGAATGAGAACCATAATGATGTTGAATGGGAACTGCCTGGGGGGATTATTGTCTTGAAGGTATCTTAAATATTCAAATAGGGTACAGGGCTTTAAAAAAGAAAAAAAAAAAGTCATCAGAGTAATTTATTTTGGCAATAGTTGCTCAGGGGCAATGCTCACTGCCCATTGAGAGCCGGTTCTGTCCACTGTTTGATTTGATTCATAATTCTGTTGTATTCTGGGCACTTCCCTCTTTGTCTTTGTCCAGTGGTGTACGAATGACAGTGACAGCCAATGCTTGAGTCATGAATAGAAATGAGGCCATGACTACAATCTGCCATGCTGACACGTGCACTGTAACAATAAATGCTTTGTGTGAAATAAGAAGCAGATGACTCCACAAATGATTAAAATAATCAGTCTTCTGCATTATGTCAATCTTTATTTCTGAAAGTCATCATGATTGATGATTACAGTGAGTCAAAAAGTAAAAATTTACTCAGCTACCAAATTTGCAAGTTCTCCCACTTAAAAAGATGAGAGAGGCCTATAATTTTGATCATAGGTATACCTCAACAATGACAAACAAAATCCAGAAAATCACACAAATTATGGTGGAAAATAAGTATTTGGTAAATACTCATCTCAGTACTTTGTTATAAACCTTTTGCTGGCAATGACAGAGGTCAAATGTTTTCAGTTCTTCACAAGGTTCACTGTTGCAGGTATTTTGGCCCATTCCTCCATGCAGATCTCCTCTAGAGCAATGGTGTTTTGGGGCTTTCACTGGGCAGCACGGGCTTTCAACTTCCTCCAAAGATTTTCTATGAGGTTAAGATCTGGAGACTTTCTAGGCCACTCCAGGACCTTGAGGAAGCTCAGTCATTGCCTGGATGGTGTGTTGAGGATCACTGTGATGCTGACAGACCCAGCCAAGTTTCATCTTCAGTGCCCTTACTGATGGAAGAAGGTTTTCACTCAAAATCTCACAATACATGGCCCCATTCATTCTTTTCTTTACACAGATCAGTCACTCTGGTCCCTTTGCAAAAAACAGCCCCAAAGAATTATGTTTCCAGCCCCATGCTTCACAGTAGGTATGGTGTTCTTTGGATGCAACTCAGCATTCTTTCTTACTCAGCATTCTTTAATACAGGGAATGAGTGGAGGACAGAGGCACCTCTTAAAAAAGAAGTTACAGGTCTGTGAGAGACACAAATCTTGCTTGTTCTGTAGTTGACCAAATACTTATTTTACCCAGGAATTTACCAATTAATTCTTAAAAAATCCTACAATGTAATTTCTTTCCCCCCATTCTGTCTCTCAGTTGAAGTGTACCTATGATGAAAATTACAGGCCTCCCTCATCTTTTTAAGTGGGAGAACTTGCACAATTGGTGGCTGACTAAATACTTTTTTGCCGAACTGTATATGTTTTTCTTTCTTCAGAATGGCTGGGAGTACGATTATGAAGGCAGAAAGTCCTTTGTCACAGAGGTCAGACAACATTCCATCAAATCAAAACCCTTAGATATAATATATGTCTGTCTATAATGTGTCTTTGTGCACTGCTGTAGTTTGACCTGGTGTGTTCAGACGGCTGGATGGTGGACATGTACCAGTCCACACTCAATGTGGGCTTCCTCGTCGGCAGCTTTATTTTTGGATATATTGCAGACAGGTGGGACAAAAGTTAGATCAAGTGCATAAACACATCATCAACCACATTCTGCATTGTTCATTATTCTCTCTGTATGCTGTCATGTGCACAGGTTTGGGAGGCGGATTTCTTTTCTCTTATGCAATATTGTCAGTATGATTTGTAGCGCATCTATTGCTCTGGCTCCTAACTTCCTGGCCGTCCTCGTGCTCCGGGCTGTCCTCGGACTGGGGATCAAAGGCAGCTGGATGACCTGCTATGTACAGTGTAAGGAATATGACCATTAAACCACTATTATACTACTACAACCTACACTACACTGCTTCCCATGACTTTCTTAGTATCAGAGTTAAAGGGACAGTCCGGAAGACCTCATTTTGTAGTTAGCTAGAGTGTTGGAGATGTGCAGAGACACTTTTTAAAATATTCCATACATCCAGTCCTTGTATTTGCAGAGGTCGCTGGTGCTAGGCTAGCGCATGTCAGTGGCCATGCCCACTCCACAAAACACCCGAAGCAAAACAATTATAATGCCAGACTGTCCATGTGAATGTTTGTGTCAATAGAATAATATTAGAAGTAAAACCAACCTTGCATTTGAAGGATTTATGTCTGAGCAGCAGCAGTGAGTTGTACTTCCTGATAGAAAGCTTGGCAGAGGTGGACTGATAGCATCTATCTTATAATAAAGTAGTCCCTCAACATGCGACGTTTCATGCGATGCAAGGTTAGTTTTATTTCAAACATTGTTCTATCAACACAGACATTCACATCAACAGCGTGGAGTTATAATAGATTTCCTTCAGGTGTTTTGTGGAGTAGGTAAGACTGTTTTTAGTAGCAGGCTAACTATGGCCATTGACTTGCACTAGCCTAGCACCAGCGACCTCTGCAAATACAAGGACTGGATGGAATATTTTAAAAAGTGTCTCCACACGTCTCCAACACTCTGGCTCACTTGAAAATGAGGTCCTATGTCCAGAATTCCAGACTGTCCCTTTAATATGTATAATTATGGGTTTTGTTCTTTTCATAGTAGACTTAAAGGTACACTGTGTAACTTTTCTAGAGGAGGATGCATCACCTGCTTATCTCAATGGAGATCTTACCTGGAAGATCGCCATGGAGACAAGCAGCTACTCAGCCAAGTTACAGGTCAGATCTGTAGAGAGGCGATTCTTTTCATAGTAAGAGTGCGTGTCTTTCATGGTATTTTTACAGTAATAAAAACCTGTAATTGAATAAATGCTGGATATTGGTACTTTTCAGCTCTTGTTATTGACATTCCCTGGGGCTGTGAAGCTAACTGAAACCAGTACTCTGTAAGAAGCTCCATTACTCAAGTTAGACGTAATCCGCACTTTATTTAAATACAATCTGACAAGACAGAGCTGACTACAACAGGGGAGATGATTTGTGCCCTTAAAGTTTCTCACACATAAAATTACAGTCACAAGTTTGCTAGCGTTAGTCAACAGTTTTTCAGTCACTCTCACCTTTTAATTGAAAATTAAACACCTAAACAGGACAATGAACGCTCGTATTCATCACAAGCTCCTGAATATGTGCTTGAATCCATTTTGTATGGAGTTTTTGTTTGTGTTTGCTAATGTGTGCATCATATCATCAAAATATGAAAGAGATGCTATACTGTACATACATGCTGTACTATACAACCCTGGTGAAACAATAACATTTCTATGGAGAAAAGCACCTAATCTTAACACCATTCTGTGCTGAGTAGCCTAATTCATCAGCCAGTTTCACTTCATGGAAACCGTCTGACATTAGCATTAGGATTTGTTAGCTCGAAGGTAGGCGGGTACTTTTTAATTTAAACAATTGCTGCTATTTGGTCGTGACATATGTAATGCGCCAAATCCTGTAGGAAGAAGGGCAATAATGTCTTTCCCCTTTAACAAAATTTACCCAACATTCTCTTTGTTTCGGCTTCGGGAATCATTGCCAACACAGAATGTATGGCTTCATCTAAATCCATCTCGACCGCTTGTTTACTGTTGTGCTGTACCACAAAAGGGACCCAGACAGGTGCCTGAGTTTGACGTCATGGCTTCACAGTTCTTCGCTGATTGGCCTGTGTGCGGTCTACAACTTCCGGGATTCTTGCAAACCGTCTTGTGTATTCCAATTCCTGACCTAGTCGGTGGAGAGAAATGAAATTAAGCAGAGGCACTAGGTGGCACCAGCCTGGCTAACATCTGAGTACCTCAAAGTAAGAATTGTAGTTGAGTTGGTGTAAAGTTTCCTGAAATGTCCTGTGCTCCTGGTAGTGACAGAGATAGTGGGTTTGGAGTATAGGCGCCTGGTGGGCATCCTCTACCAGATGGTGATCAGTGTGGGCATCATCGCCATGGTGATGCTGGCCTATTACATCCCGGACTGGCGATGGCTTCAGGTGGTCTGCTCGGTTCCAAGTCTCCTCTTCCTTTCCTACTTCTGGTGAGACTAGAATCCATCTCTATCTGAACCTCCACATTGTCAAATTGATCTAATAATCTAACTTATATCTATATTGTTATCAAAGTTTTTCTATATCTGTTTATTTCCCAGGTTCGTCCCTGAATCTCCACGCTGGCTCCTCTCCCAAAACAGAGCACCTGCAGCGCTGAAGATCACCAAAAAAATGGCCAAAGAAAATAAGAAAAATCTTTCAGTCAAGAACATAGAGGTATCTGCACCACCAGTGTATTCTTTCTCGCTGTAAGATTTTAATGATTTCATATTGATTAGTCTTTTGAGGCAGTGACGGATGAACCCGGAGACTCTCCTTCTGCATCTTTCCTGGACCTGTTCAGAACTCCCAATATGAGGAAGCACACTTTTATTCTTATGTTCAACTGGTAAGAATTAATTATTCCAGCTAGGAGTAATTTGAAACAGTTATACAGTTACATGAGACAAGCCTAAAACTGATTGGAGTAAGAGTCAACCCTTATTTCAATTTGGAGAGCAAAAGATATTGCAAAGAATTTGATGACTTTTAGGAGATGTCTTCCCTCCAGGGCTTGGTCATAGAGGTGAGGCAGAGGAGAGTAAAGAGAACGATGAGAAAATGAGAAGTCAGGGAGGTGAGGGTGGAACTAGGACATGGCACAAACTGAAGTGGCCATGAATCTGCAGTGTGGGTTTAAATTGGGCAGACTGGGCGCTGATTGGACTAGGAGGAGGTGAGGGGAGGAGCAGTTGGAGTGAGTCAGTGATGGCTGAGAAGCAAGTAAACATTGGAGAAGTAGTGAGGTAGATGGGTTAGGTCTTCCACGCTGATTTTACACTAGCTCCACTTGTCTGTAAAACTATACGTAGGCATTTTGTGGGACAGATTGTGTGGCAGGGATATTGTGGGCCACCATTGCCGTTTGCAGTTTTAATTACTATTATTTTGTAAATCTTGATCTATTTGTTTGATAAACTTTGCCTCCAGGTTCTGCAGTGCTTTGGTGTACCAGGGCCTGATCATGAGGGTGGGGATCACAGACGGGAACGTGTACATAGACTTCCTGATCTCTGGTCTGGTGGAGTTCCCTGCGGCCTTCCTCATCCTCTTCACAATCGAGAGGATAGGCCGAAGACTCCCGTTCGCTACAGCCAACTTTGTGGCAGGAGCAGCCTGTTTTATCACTGCTGGTATTCCTGACAGTAAGTCCTGCATATTAACAGTTCATATGCTTTTTTACTGGTCAGATCTGTTGATAGGCAAACCCAATGATGATAATAATGCATGTTTTTAAGGGTGTTTTATAGCTATAAAAACCCATGCAAATGAAGAAATGCAAGACAGATATACAGTTAATGCTATATTGTGGAACATTTCAGGCAAAGCGACATTTTGTAGGGAAACGGGTAGGAAAATGGCAGTTCTGATGACTTTCTTCCTACACATTAGCCTGATTCATCAGCCTGTTTCACTTCATAGAAACTGTCTGAGCTCGCAGCATTAGGATTCGTTTGATGGTAGGCAGGTACTTTTTTTAAAATTGAACCAATCATTGCTATTTGGTTTGATGTATGTAATGTGGCGGAATGCCCAGCGTTGTCCAAGAAATTGCTGGCACAAAAGCAAACAAAGCAGATTGGCTGGTGCACGATCTACAACTTCTGGGGTTTTTGCAAACTGTCTAGTGTATTCTGATTCCTAACCTAGTCGTTGGAGTGGAAAGAAATTGAGCAGAGGCACTAGGTGGTGCCAGCTTGGCTACCTACACATATTCTTTCATTCTTCATTGCTTCAGCCTCTTCACCACTAATCCTGCAATTTATTTTTACATGACACAAATGACACAATACCTGTTGTACATATGTGCTATGACTATGTACAAATTAAATGTTCCTTGTCTGTTGACAGGTATGACCTGGCTCAAAACAGCAGTGGCCTGCATTGGTCGTCTTGGTATCACCATGGCCTTTGAGATGGTGGTCTTTGTCAACTCTGAGCTCTACCCCACATATGTAAGGTGAGGTTCCACTAATGTATTTTAAACAGGTGTTCTTTCAAAAATACTGAGGAAAATTGGTAGCATGTTTATGCATTTCAAATCTTGCATTCTTCTTCTCCTGTTTTCTCGATATGGAGTCAAACCAGCTGTGTGGCAACTACTGTAAGCTTCACCCAAATGAGTCTTAGTCAGCTGTGTAGTGTAAAACTAGTAGGTGTAAAATGTGAAAGCAGAAATCAAGCTATTTGAAATTTAGCAACATTATCAATCATACTAAAAGTCAAATGCTTACAAAATATAAATCAGTTTATAAATTTCACTAACTATCGTATATAGTTGAATGTGAAACCATTGATGTGTCCAAAACTAGGTTTGTTATATAAATGCATTCTTCCTCAGAAACTTTGGCGTATCTGTCTGCTCCTCTCTGTGTGACGTGGGGGGCATTATCTCTCCGTTCATCCTGTACAGACTGGCTGCTGTGTGGATTGAGCTGCCTCTCATCATCTTCGGTAAGTCTCTGTGTAAACACAGAGCGTTTAGTAAAGAGGTGGTGGTTCAAAGGTTCTTCTCTGTGGTACAGGGGTCATAGCGTGCATCGCTGGAGGTCTGGTTCTGCTTCTGCCTGAAACTAAAGGTGTTCCTTTGCCAGAAACAATTGATGACATAGAATTTCCAAACAAGTAAGATTTTTTTAACACAGCAGTAGACATAATTTAGCACTTGTTGTTATCTACTTTTCTTACTTACTTTCTTTTTGCCCATTCAGGAAAAACAACCCTCAAATGGAAATGCTGAACCACGGCACAGACAAAGAAACAGATGTTTGAATGAGGAATATTTTTTAATTAACTAAAGTTTATGCTTTTGATTTGTGTCAATACACTGTACTTTTATTGGAAAACTTTCACTGTGTACTGTGTTAAACCAAAGATCTTACATTTAAAGTGTATAAAGATAAGTCTATACATGTGCTATTACTTTCCAAGTATTACTTAGAGTGAAGTAACAGTTCTTAATCTACTGGAGTTAAATTATTAGAATAAAAAAAAATGTTCACCACAGTTTATTTATTGACTTTGACTGAGTAACAGAAACAAATACTTTTATATAACAGCAATCTGTGTTAAAGTCCTATGTATTCTAAAAGTAGCGTGCCAGTTGTTTTATTTTAATTTGTCTTGATGGTTCTTTCTATCCAGTCGACAAACTTGGACACTCGTGCGTACACTCCAGGTTTCATTGGGTTAGCACAGCCCAAGCCCCACGAGGTCACACCCTGAAGAATATACCTGTTCTGGGCATAACAAACCAGGGGACCTCCACTGTCGCCCTGAAAACACAGACACGAGTGCATATTAGGACACGTCAAAGTGGAGCAAGTTACCGTAACTGTATGTAAAAATAATGTTATTACAATCATAACAGCCTGGGTTGCACCTTCAAGTACCTTAATTTGAGCCTACACTAGCACAGATTAATGAGGCTGCAGATGCTGGGGTTTAGGTAGTGAGGGTTCAGATCAGAGAGGGGCATTTTAGGTTTTAACCAACTGTATTTCAGCATTGAAACTGGCAACCCAAATGACTCATTTGATGCTCATTCTGATTTCTGATTAGATGTTTTGAGAACCAAAACACCAAATAACAATATAAACTTGTGAAATGGCTTTAGAATTTTGTGATTGTGATTTAAACATGAATATCTTGAGTCCTTTAACCTTAACCTTACCTGGCAGCTGTCTGAGCCTCCCTCTATATTTCCTGCACACATCTCATGGTCTTTGACGCGTCCGTTCAGGTACGATGGGCGGTTACAGATCTTATTCTCAATCACAGGGAAGCCGGTCTCCTTCAGCACACCCTCGCCTCCAGTGTCTACAACATGAACACTGCAATAAGTCATCCATTTTGTTCATAATATATCACAAAGACAAATGATTTACCTTGAGTCTCACCCCATCCAGTTACATAGCACTCCGTTCTACTCGGAACGATGTAGTCTTTATCGGGCAGGCAGGCTAGCATGACTTTGTCATTTATTAATGCAGGGCTAAAAAATAGATTAACATGTATTTCTTATCTTTAGACAAGGTCACTTCAACCCAAATATTCAAAAAACAAACGTAAGCAAATCAATATGAATGCAATTATAGAACTTCCCTTCTGTGCTCAGTATTGATCTGAAATATGTTCTATATTGCTTGTAGGATCTTTAGCTTTAAAATACCAGAGTGCACTTTCACTCTTTGCATTACCCATACAATCCTCTCTTCTACACACAACTCAAACCACAACAGCTGATCAGATCTCTTCTGTACCTCTCCAGCTTGAGGAGGGCGATGTCTGCACCTCCAGGCTCCAGGACTATCTTGGTCAGCATGCGTTCCTGTTTGGACAGCTCTAAGGCACGCTCTGTGTGGATCCCCAACACCACTTTATAATCTGAAGGGCGCTTTGACCTAAGAGACACACGCACATGCACACACACACACACACACACACACAAAAGTAGAAGTATTTTACATAGATTGTGTGAACTATTAAATGTAGTGATATTGATAAAGAACTGCACAGATTTTTTTCTGAGAGATCTGTGGAATTTCAAGTTTATATTTTTGCTTGCTCAAAGTTTTTGGACTCAAAAACTCCTGTTGGATTGTTACCATGAATGTGATAAAACAACCACTAAAATCATATAAAAAGTACTAAAAATGCAGAGGAGCAGAAAGTAGAGATACAGCTCAAAATGTATCCACTGTAAAATTCACTGAGGTAAAGTACAGATACCTAACAATTGTACTGAAGTAGAGTACGTTTACTTTTGTACTTTGTTACATTCAACCATTGAAAATAAAAATATAAATATGTGTAATTAAAGTAGAACAGACCTCTCCAGGCAGTGAGTGGCCGTGAGCACCCACTGAGGATGAATCAGCGTCCCGCCACAGAAATGGATTCCAAGCCTTTGAGAAACACACCACAAAAATGATGTAACACATTTGTTTTGTGAAAACATGTGTGTTTATTTATTTGTTGTTCTTAGCGTGCTTTATTGACAGAACAGAACTGTTGAGGCATGAAAATACGTTTGTTTGCTATAATGGCACTTTCACTTTTGCTGGGTTTCAGATGACATCACAGCAGAATAAAATATAAAATTAGTATTGTTAAAATGCAAAATCATGCTGTAATATGGCAAGTTCTTGGGTTTAATGATTGAAAATTAACCTGGTTTATTTGTGACTTTACCTTTTGGCTATTTCATGGCAAGGTACAATGTAATCAATATGGAAATCTGGGAGTACGCATAATTGGTTGATTTGTTTTTTTTTTATTTTGAGTTTGTGCCAAAAGAGAAGCAATGATCATGCATACTACATATACATTGTAAACAACAGAAAAGCACATTTCTTGAAAAAGAATGGGAAGAAGAAAAACTTATATTGACCCACCGCTATTCAACGTATTCAAGAATCTGAAAACCACTTAATCCTATGGAAAATGTAGTGATTTTGTAATAAATATACAAAATTTAAATCTGTAACATTATTTGGGTTGGCTTCACAAATCTAAAAATATTAATCTTATGAGTTATGACTTTGTGTTAGTTGTTATTTGATGTGGATAGGCTCAGTTATTGCAGGGATATTACCCATTAACCCAGTCAAAACATCTGCAACATTAAACAACAAATTCTACCAATAATATAATTGATCTGTCCTTATGATATTTTTTAAATTATAGAGTGAAGATGGTTAAACACACATATTTTATTAGACACTCACCGGGTGCGGAGACTGATCTGCCAGGGCCAAGAGTGAGGTTTAGAGACACAGCCACCCACAATGCGGCCAAAACACCTCTTTGGTTTGATCGCTGGGCTCCCACAGTTCAAACCAGCTGAAAAACATAAATAATATTGATTGACATATTCCAAAAAAGGAAGATGTATCATTTTGTCCACATTGGTAGTTTACTTACCACAGTCTGGGATCTGGCAGTAGTCCCATTTCTTATTGCGGTCTGTCGTGTAGCACCAGGGACCATTCACATCATTGTCTGGGTTTCTGCAGCTCTGAGGGGAGAAAAAGTTCACTTCAAAACCAAATCTGCTTCTCATCATAATTTTACATTTTTGTCAGCATCTTAATAATACAAGTAAATATGGAATAGTACCATCCAGCATTGTCATTTATTTTTGGCTACTGACATTTTAGAACCCCACATGCATAACTAAGTTTACATTTTTTCATTATTTCAACTAAGTATGGAGATGTGGGCGGAGCTAGGAGGAAAGTGAAAACAGTAATTTTCTGAGCCCACAATCGCCGAATGCAGGACAATACAGGATTATTCCTTGTTATTAATCTTGTAACTTGGCTGTCCCATTGATATCAAAATACCAAATGTAGACTGTAGGCTTACGTTTCCTTCCAGCCCTTTGGTGGGGTGTGTCTCTGGGGTAAAGCTGTTGTGTGTATGAGGGGTCTGAGAGCTCCAGGCCTGACAGGTCACTCCTGCTGCAGTCATTGATGTGGGACCACGATATGTGCTTCCACTTCCAATCTTACAGTCTAAGAGACGCACAGAGACAAAATTATTTGAGTAGTACAGGATCCTGTTGTGATAACAATGTATGTAGTAAGTGTTAACATTTGCCACATAACGTCCCAAATTATGAACAACCAAACTGAGAAGAAGGTGACATCAGCAAGGGAACACTATGTGCACCATATTAACATTGAAAATCAAATATAAAATTAAACAAACTACAAGCTACTTTTTTCTGAATTGTAACACTGGATAAGTGGGTCTATTACAGAAACATGACAGTCTGAATATATCCAGATTTAATCACTCAATAAACCACAGATTTCATATAAAGTATCCTGAATAATTGTCACAGTTCTCAACACAATCAGGTGGTAATACTTTGACAATATTTTATGTCTTTAAAAATGTCCAAATCAGTAAGTCACTTTCTCTGTGTTTTTTCAGTGATCTAAATGAATGTGAGGAGAGCTGTACCTCGTTCAGGGCCTGTGGGTGTCTCTGGGATCTGGGAGGGTCTGGGTGGTCTGGGTGGAGCTTTGGTGGGGTTGCTGGAGCATTTTTCCAGGTTGCAGTACTCCCAGCGGACAGCGGGGTCCATGGTGTAACACCAAGGAGCCCGGTCTCCATCTGGGTTCCTGCACAGGTTCCTTTTCAAATCCCTAAAAATCCACAGAAGAATAAATAAATAAGTGACTGTGGTAGGTGAGGAGCCTTTATACTTATATAGTTATACTGCACTCACGCGCTGGGGAAGTTCTGAGGGGTCTTCTGGTGGCTGTGTGGACTCGTGGAGCTCCAGGCCTGACACTTCTTTCCACTTACAGTCTCCGAGGTGACGCCTCGATACGAGCTGCCATTGCCCTCGTAACAGTCGTCCTCCTCCGGGGGGATCATGGGCTCATCTTAAGGCAACAGATACGTTGAGTATCATGAGGGCTGTAAACATTTACCCTGTGCAGCTCTTTACCTGGGGGCCCGGGGGCATTACTGCAGCTGGGCACACTGCAGTACTCCCAGCGAGTCTCGGCATCTGACGTGTAGCACCAGGGCTGTCTTTCGTTGTCTGGGTTACGACAGTAGTTGTTGTCAAGACCTCTGTAGAAAAAAGGTGTATTCGACATTCAAATAAGAAGTTATTTGAGAAGTATAATTGTTATTTATAACAGTTTTGAACAGTTCTGGTCGAATTATACACAGTTTGTCTGTTGTTTTCTAGATTTCTACCAAGACTGTTGTTGCACACATACTTGCAGGGGTAGTTGTCGGGGGTGCGGTTGTGCTTGTGTGGTGTTTGGGAGGACCATCTCTGGCAGGTTTTTCCAGACTCTGTGACTGCAATGGTTCCTCTGTAGGAAGTGCCTTCACCTGAAGCACAGGTGAGTTCGGGCACGATGGTCGGGGGTTCAGAAGCTGCACACAATCACAGCATTAAGCACAATGGACTTTAATGCTTTTAAAATCACTTCTGCATTTAAGTGAGAGATTGTTGCAAAGTGCTCTTTACCGCAGCGTGGGATGGAGCAGAAGTCCCAGCGTTTGGAGGCGCTGGTGGTGAAGCACCAGGGCCGAGGGTCTCCGTCTGGATTCCTGCAGTAGTTCTCCTCAAGATACTTATCTGGGAGCCTGCAGAAGAAAGATGAGTGCACTTAAACTATAGGTGAATCATTATTACATAGTAACAGTATGGCAGTACTGCAGACTGACGCGCTGGGGATGTAGCCATGGTTGTGTGGTTTCTGGGCGTCCCAGCGCTGACAGGTGAAGCCGTTCTCTGTGGTGGAGATCTTCCCTCTGTAGTTCTCACCACTGCAGTGGATGCACTCCTCTGTTAGACCACATCTTTATCAATATGTGTCTGTCTACTTAATTTAGTCCAAAACTATTCTGTATAAGCATCATTAAAATGCAATGCACAAATCAAGTTGTCAAAATGTAACACTGCCCACAATCTCTACTCAATATTAAATTAATAGCCAATTTACTATTAATATTTGTTCTGCTGGTAGTACTGCAAATCTTATATTGCCTGTTTTACCTGTGCAGCTGGGCACATTGCAATGCTCCCAACGTGTGTTGCGGTCTGTGGTGTAGCACCAGGGCCCCCCACTGTCTCCGTCTGGGTTTCTGCAGTGGTTTGAGACCAGGTCGGCCCGAGGATGGGACTGGGGTGTGATGCTACACAACATAACATTTTAGAACAGACAGAAAATACTTTTGACAATAAGATGGACATACACTATGACTTTACTTTGGGACATGAGGTGTCTTGGCTTCCCATCGCTGGCAGGTCTTTTCTGATTTTGTAGTGGCCTTAGTCCCTCTGTAGTCTGTCCCTATTCCATTCACACACTCAAGAAGGTATTCTAGAGAAAACACAAAGTTGGGTTATAACAGATACATGCCTGTTCTGTGAGGAGAACAACAGCTACTTCATACCATGGATATTATGGATAAATTAAGCACTTCAAATTTACCTTTTTTCTCATAATATGCAGTGCTGCTTCTTCTCAGGACCATTTCTGTTTTGGAGTTGGCCTCAGCGGTCCAACACTCCTGGTCCTTCTCCACGTATATAAAAGACCTGTTCAATCACACATAGGGAACATAGGGACATGTGTACAGTGACAGCACATTATAGCATTAGCGTGTAGGAGCTTACTTGCATGTGAAGGAATTCTCGGCATCACATTTAGCAGCACATTCAGCCACTGTGTTTACAGAGTACAGCCTTTTATGCAATGACAGGATCCAAGCGCCTTCAGTTTTGGAGTAACCCTCTACTTCTGAAGCACTCGCTGGAACTGGAAACAGAAAAACAGCTAATAACTGAGCATATCTCTGAGCATAAAGCTACCAAGTGTGTAGATAACGTGTAACAAAATAGAGACAAAAAAGTGGGGCACGTCTGCAAAAACTATAATGACAAGTTTAAAGGGCCAAAATGAGTTTCTCACTCTAATATTGTACAGCATCTGAAATAGACACAGATCCATATGGTCCATCTCTGATTTGATCATTTAGTTCACATACAGCTGGGGTAAAGGGAAATCCAGAAATAGTAGAAGTTAAACTCAAATACAGGCCCTTTTTCAGCATATAATAAAAATTGCCTACATTTTATCTCTTTCTGTCTATGTATATAGCTGTACAATCTACATTTCAGATACTAGTTTATTATATTTGTTGTAATAAAGGACTTGCTTGAGCGAACATTCTGAACTTCAGTACTGTACACTTCAAATCCTCAGTTGTTTGTTGACCCACTGTATTACCACAGTCACATCTATTGCTCAAGGCCCTTCTTTGGAACAGACTGTTAAGTAAAGTGTAAAGTCTACACCAGAGGCAATTCAACTTTTCTAAAAATGATAAAACTTTCTATACCAATTTTCTGGTCAATGGCTTAACGATTTTCTTAAACTGGAGCAGCTTTGGCTCAAAAGATCGTGTACAGTTGGTCTTAATGTTAACACAGTGTATCGTGTTACTCATGATTATGTCTCACCAGTGCAGAGGAGAGCCCCGAAGCACAAGGCTGTGGTGTACAGGTTCATAGTGAGGCCTCAGCAGATCATCATCCAGAGGTCCCTCCTGGCTCCGCACTGGGTCCACTTCACTTCAGGGGACACTAATACAACAGACACTAGTTAAGCTTCACCACCACAAAGACCACAAAGCTACTAACTTTTTTGATGTTTCAGTTTTGTAAAGAAAAAGTCGTAGTAGCGTAGTAGAAGTATCTGATTCTTACCTTGTTCGGATGATGGCTTGGAGCTGATACCGAGGGTTGAGGTCTGACATGTAACTGCTGAATCTCTTCATTATTTGCCTGAACTTTAACCATTTCAAATCATGTGACCACTGTGTCCTTATCAAAATGTCAACATATCTCATTGAAAACATTGGTATAGGTAGCTCTACCTACACACTCTCTTCCAAAATTTAAAGATGACCAAATCTCATGAAAAATGCCTAGTTTAAAATAACCTACAAAATATTCTCCCAAAGACGATACAAAACCTACAAACTTACATTAACTGATGAATGCAAGTTGTGTTTTTATTCTATATAAGAAGTTAGCAGTAATATGTGCTTAATATTACTACTATATAGGCTTTAGTACAATTAGGATTATTATTCAATCTAGGCTAGGCTACTGAAGGAATTCAAGAGCAATAAAAGTTGTTTGCTAATTAGGCAGTTTGACCATTTCTATGAGACCATAGTTTAAATTATAACTTTAATACGCAGTTGTTGAAAATGTGTAACTTCATCTTGACCAGATTTGTTCCAGTCTCTTTTTATGTTTTCACAGCCTGACCTTTTCAAACCTTGTATTTTTTTTTTTACTTAACTTCACTTTGGATCAATACATAAAGTTAATATTCAGCCAAGAAGGAACAATGTTCAAACGACACAAAACACAAAATGACAGAAAGCGTAATCAAATGAAGGAATAGGCTACAACTGTTGCTGCAATAGACAAAATGTTGCTTTTTATTTATTTATTTATTTTAATGATGAGGTTAAATAATGGAAGAAGTAGGCATTCAGGAGGAGCCCTATTCATTAAAAAGCTAGAGACATGTAATAACCTGAAGTGTCCAGCGGAGGGAGCTAGTGTTGATCACTTGAATGGTTCGTTTATAAAGTGGCGGAGAACGTGCGCATTTATTTGGGTACATTTTCAAAACTCAGTTTACTTTAAATCACTAATTTTGTTTTAAATAAAGTAGCTCTTTCTAGTAGCACTTAATTGTAGCCGTAGTTGTGGTTAATACGTTTAAACTGAGCAGAACTGCTAATTTGCAAAATGTTAAAACTTTGTTAAAGGCACTGAAAGACCCGACTGCGTAAACATATAAAAGTTGTAGAATTTATGTTACAAACTGAAATGAGAATTTACTGCAAAAATTCAATAAAAGATTAAGAAGAATTTAACAACCTTGCTATATGTGTGTACTGTATGTATATGTATTTTTACTAATGTCATATTTGTCTTCCATATAGAAATCAAGATTGATAAAAAGGTGCACTGCGTTTGCTTTTTGGGCTCCACCACCAGACCAAGTAGTGACGTCTCCATGGAGATAAGGTGGCAGACATTCCACCAGAAATGTTACATAGTGCATCTTTAGGTGATTTCAAGACTGATAGATGAAAAAGTCAACGTTTTGAATAACTGAGTGTGACTACCCAAATAAAGAGATGTGAAATCAAATTAATGTAAATGATACAACTCTAGGTTTATGCAGTTATAATGCCAACAAAAATACCACAACTAATGTACAATGATATATAAACAGTTGTGTCTATAGGTCAAAATACAGTCAAGTCACTCTTATGTATGAGTAACCATGAACAAGAGGTCAGCTGCAGGTCACCTCTGTGCGTGGTTCATTAAAAATACACAATTTGTACTGACCCAGCCTTCAACCCCACTTTCAATAGGCTCTCCAATGTTTGTTATTTTATTTACCATTTCATTCTACATAAAAGGGCATGCATGTAAAATAGCTTATTTACTAAATAATCTACAATTTAATGGTTTCAGAGTTTTTAAATTCTTATAAATGTTTGCATGCAGCAAATCATTCAATTAATATTAAACTTATAAACCTGAGCAGCATGATCCATGTAAGAAGGAGATGGAGATGATGGGGTGGTGGACAATTCGGCTGCTCAGAATGTTTTTTTTTATTTGTCCTCCATGACTCAAATGCTGAGAATGTGTAACAATCTCTTTAAAAAGAAACAACATTTGTAGATTCCTTTAAATGTCTTAGATTATAAAAAAAGTGATTCTTGTGAGCTTTAAGCAGTTATAATGCTGCTACCTTATCAAAAAACATACCCCGAGTTGTGTTTTTTTTTTTCTTTTACACATTTTTGAATAAACCAGGGTTGTCTGTCTCCATCTACAAAGCTCAAAATACTCTGTTCCACCTTGTGATGCCATCAAGTGGTAGTTTTCAAGTTTACAGCTACCTTTTACTGATCAGTTCAGTCAAGTAGATATTGGCATTTCCATTGCTGAAGTCATCTAAATGATTCTAGTGAAGGCGTATGGTGTTTAAAAACACAATGGAGCACTCCCTGTATTATCACATGACGTCAGTGTTTTCTGTTTGAAAAAAGGACACAGCTTGGATTTGTTTTTGATAGATCAGAAAATAGTGTAATATGGGCGCTTTAAACTAGGTTCTGAGACCACTTTATGTCTATTTTAAGTTATCATTTGTACCCTTTGATTTGATTTTTCATAATTTGTGATATAGATCTGCTGCTTTTGAAATCACATTATGTTGCACTCCTCTTCTTGAGTAGTATAGAGGTGATTTGTTTAATGGTAATGTGGCTTCATGACAAATAATTTTTGTTTGCCAAGGCTTAAATCAGTATGAACTTCATCAGAAAATCATAATTAGAGATAGGAAAATCATTTAGAAGTATAATGCACTCCTCTTTCTATACCCTTTTTCATTTTATTCAAGATCTTCTCACTATTCTGCTTTCAACTGTCGGATCAAGCCCTTGAGTCAGATGGCAGCCATTTTGTTTTATTGATAACAAAAAACTAATTTATAACTCTTTCAATGTGTCATCTATTTCAACTCCTGCGATACAGTAGAAGGCCCTGGTAATGGACTGAGAGGAAGTTCGATCAGAGACAGCTTTTAATTCTTTATCAGATGTTGTTTGTGGAATTGAGTGTATTTTTCCCTTTAATTAAAGCCTTAACTTAAGTGACGTGCCCTTGACTGGACCATTGTATTACACTGAGCTTCTGAGGACAGTGTGATTAAATTGGAAGCTCCACTATACATGTTTTTACAGAGCACTGATCAAAACAAGGAAAAATAAAAAATTTCTGAACTTTTCCCTTTCAAATGAGTTTAAATCAGTCTCGCCAGTAGTTTAATAATGATAATGCTATTGCTTTTTCATAATATTTGAAATAAGCAATGGATAAAAAGACCAAAAAAAAAAGCATTCATTCCTCTCTCCACAGATCTGACCTGTAACCCAATGGCGCCACCTGCTTGTCACCATGGAACACTGACCCGAAAAGTTAACACATGAAGTATTGTCTAGTGAAGCATTTGTGTGTGTGTGTGTGTGTGTGTGTGTGAGCGTGCATGAATTCAGAATATTTTTACTCAGACATGAATTTATTTTATGGCTAAATCAGACACACTGTAGTCATTTCAATGTACTTGTTTTTCTGCCTCAGGAGATATATAAAAACAGACAGCATCTCAGCGGACAGTGAACAATGGTGCACAAATCTTGCACATGCAGAGAGGGGGATCCAGCTGTCCCCCTCTCAGGCGTCCTGTAAGAGAATACCCCGAGCCAGCACTCACGCCTCCATCAATCTCCTCCTGCAGACAGCAGCTATGCCCACCTGTTCCCCCTCTGCCCACTCTCCAACGTCACTGTACCTTTGGACAATACACAGACAATACACACAAAGCATGAGTTTGGTTGTGTGACCTGTTTTCATATTTTACACTTTACATTTTTCTCTTGGTTTGGCCTGTGATTTCGGTGTAAGTGTAAATCTGTCTCCCAGTCTCCTCGCGGGCAGGATCTGTTTAATCTGTGATAACGCTTTGATGTGTAACCTTTAGGCTTCTGTGTCTCAGGCAGGACTCAGACAGAGGCTGGAGAAAAGAACCACCAAATCCTTTAAACCACTTTTTCACGGCGCTTTCTCTTCCTTCGCCGCAGCCATAGATCACCTGTCCAACCAGATCTGTTGTCTTCACACCTGACCAATCACTCCTCATCCACATCTCCTCCATTAGGAACACCCACCGCCTGGGGCCCAGGATGCACTCACTCTGAGGGGGAGAGGGGGTCTGAGAGACGGACTAAGAGAGGGACTCGGAGGTCTCCTCCTCTCATGTTACCTGTCCAGGTAAACCTCTGTTTGTTTAGTGCAACCTGCAGTGTCAGGTCCAGGCCCGGGCAGCTGTGTGTGCTTTGGGATTTGATCTGTTGGGCAAACAAACAAAACATTTGATTGCAGCTGATGACAGAATTAAATCAGTTTTAATGTAACAACATGTTCTTTGTGACATAACACCAGCAAACATTTAGACTGTGTGCACTTTCCATGGTCTTAAAGCACATTATTAGTGTAAACACAATTTTCACATTACTATTGACTGAAGTTATAATCTTGCATCCAGGAGCACTTAAGGATTTTTAATACAGACTTAATAGCCCTAAATAACAGTGAATTGTTTTCTCTTAAACCAGGTATGCGTCTGACATTATATCAGTTCAAAAGCAGCCCATAGTCTTTACGGTAAAAGACAAAGTGTCCCTGATGGAGCTGTGGAGTGTGTGGAGTCTGATCTCAGAGACAGTGTAAGTGAGTGATCAGGTTTCTCGTCCTCGCTCGTGGTTTACAGGAGAGACGGTGCGGAACAACTCTCGAACAAAAGAACCTCAATTGTACTTAGCATTCCCTACATTTTTACCACGCTTTGTAACAACTCTTTTGGGGAGAAGAAACGGCATGCAGGCTTCACAAGTGTGATGGTGGCCGTTTGAAGTGAGGACATCAGAAAAAGCAAAGCTCCACTGAGAGTGTTAGCAGAATATGAGGTCAAACATTAACATAGCAACATATCCAAAACAATTAGTGCTCCAATAATAAAAGACCTAAGAGACCAAAAGTGCACAAGTGGCCAATTTAGCAACTGAAATCCCTCAATGATAAATAAATTTCACTTGTTTCGCTACCAAAACCTTTGACTAATTAAGGCTAAGGTAATTTACAAAGGCAGTTATCTTTCAGCACATGCTAATTTAACAAAATAGAAATAAACAGT